GCCCAGTGATGAGCAATCCTCTCGTGCTTCCTCTCTCTGTCTGAAAAGAGAGGTCTGGGGCAGCCTGACCACCGGCCAGCTGACCTGCCTGCTTCCCATCAGGACCCTCCCATGCCACGGAGCGCCTGGCTCCCTCCCAGCAGCCCCCACCCCAGCACGGCTTTACGGCGCCCTTTGGAGAGCCAGCTGCCTTCTGCATGAGAACAGCTGCTAAAATCAGCTGCCGGGGGAGAGAGCTGGCTGCACACTGCCTTGACCACACAGGCATGGCCAGCAGGGCTCCTCTGGATGCACAACGGGAGCCTGTAGAGCAGGATCAGGCCAAGCCAGGAGACAAACATCCATGCCTGAGGATGGGGTCTCTCCTCTCCTGCACCATCCCACCATATGCCAGCTGGGCAGGCAGGTGAATCCTACTTCAGTGCAGGCAACAGGGGCTTGTTAGGAGAGTGCCGGATGGGCCACTTGATGCCACCCGCAGCTCTCTTGGAATTGTAGATTGTAGCACTGGAAGGGACCCCAAGGGTCATCCAGTCCAGCCCGCTGCAGTGCAGGAGGTCAGATGACACCCATCGCTGATAATTCATTCTGATTTGTGTCCAGGGAGGTTAAAGAAGTCATGTCAAACTAAGGCTCGCGCCATCCCTTTCCAAAGTTGTTTGCCATCAGTTCCCTTACCACAAAAGGGTTGATGGAGGGGGAAACAGAGGGCATCTGCTGTACAAGAGCACCAAAGTCGCTCCAGTTGTGCAACCTGAATTTGCCAGTGTATTACTAGCGACCGTTCCAATGTTCTCGCAACTGGATGGGGCTTTCTTTGGCATGGGACGATGGCATTGGCTGCTCTCCAGTCTTCAGTTACGGAGGCTGATCCAAGGGACTAGTGACTTAGATCTTTTTAGAAGGTCAGCAATTTCACATTTCACAGGAGTGGGATCCCCTCCCCAGGGAGGCTCTCCTGGCCCTGTCATGGCATGCCTTTAGGGGCCAGATGGAAACATTCCTCCATAATCGCTATATGTGGCCTATTAGAAATGGGGAGGGTTTTTTTAATGTACAGTGGTACCTCGGGTTAAGAACTTAATTCGTTCCGGAGGTCCGTTCTTAACCTGAAACTCCTCTTAACCTAAAGCACCACTTTAGCTAATGGGGCCTCCTGCTGCCGCCGGAGCACAATTTCTGTTCTCATCCTGAAGCAAAGTTCTTAACCCGAGGTACTATCTGTGGGTTAGCGGAGTCTGTAACCTGAAGCGTATGTAACCCAAGGTACCACTGTATTCCCCTTTGTTTTAATGTACCTATCTGCATAGGGCTTGTCTCTTCTGTCTCCTTGATTTCTTGATTGGCTGGTGTTAAGTTGCTTTGGGCTGCCTTGGGCAAGATAAAGCAAGTCACACATTCATTGAATGGTTGTTGTTAATTTGCCAGTTTTTACTTTGTCATAAAAAGCCTAGAGCTTTGTGTTTTGTCGCCACAATCTGCCTCAGTTTCCCAGGCCAGTTCCTCACTTCTGAGCTCCTGTATTTTTTAGCTGCTCTTATTTTTATCTGTCAGCCACCTTGAGTCCCTGTCAGGGAAAAAGGTGGGGCATGAATAAATATATAAATAATAATAGCAGTTAACTGACCAGTTGGCCAAAGATTTCTCCCTGGAGGTTCTGCCCTGTGCAATGCCCTCCCATCAGATGTCAAAGAAATAAGCAACTATCTGACTTTTAGAAGACATCTGAAGGCAGCCCTGCTTAGGGAAGATTTTAATGTTTGATGGACTACTGTATTTTAATATTTTGTTGGAAGCCGCCCAGAGTGGCTGGGGAAGCCCAGCCAGATGAGTGGGGTAAAAATAACATATTATATCATTATTCTTATTCTTCTTCTTATTATTATTACATTCATACCTTGGGATAAATACGCTTCAGGATAAGTATTTTCAGGTTGCGCTCCGCAGTGACCCGGAAGTAACGGAGTGCGTTACTTCCGGGTTTTGCCGCTCGCGCATGCGCAGACGCTCAAAATGACTTTCTGTTCAGGATGCGAACAGGGCTCCAGAAGGGATCCCGTTCACATCCCGAGGTGCCACTGTATTATTAAAAGCAAACGGGTGCCTGAAGATCTTTCACTCTACCTCTGTGGTGTTTTCTGCACTCAGAAGCCTCCCTGATTTCCTTGGCGCTTACTCCCAGGAAGCCACGCAGAGAGCATTGCCAGGAGGCGGATCCCAAGAACGTGGGCCTTATTCTTCTGCTCTGCACTGCAGCTCTTCCTCATCAAGCCCACCTCTGGGCAGATGCCTTAGCTTTTTGTTCTTCAGGGTCTTTAGATTTACAAAATCTTTGAAGGGTCTCTTGGAAGAAAGAAGGACAAGCTAAGAGATGCAAGTTATCAGCAAGAAACAAAAGCCCAGCCGCCAGGTCTGCGATTCTGGTTCCTGTTGGGTCTGGTTGGTGAAGGTGCCCAGTGAGGGTCATGGGTGCTAATTCTGGAGCAGCGTCTCTAAGGACACAGTAGCCCTGCAATACTCCTCTTGGCTGAAAGGGGGAGCAGAGGAGCAGCCCTGGGGGCCAAATCCTGCCCTGAGAGGTCAATGGGTATAAATTACCGTAACAGGACGCTGGAATTTCCCACTTGCCTGATGCAATGCACGCTCGGAAATGGACTCATCCCTCTTGGAAAGAACTGAGGATGTTTGTAACTCTGCTGGCGCTGGAGGCTGATGTGTCTGCATGGAGAAAAGAAGTGGGGAACCCCAGGCTTCCTAGACTGCCCTTCAACCTGCACTGACTTTCCTTCAAGATTAGCCAGTGGTTCCCAAACTTCTTTTGGCCCCTTCCCCCTTGGCTCCTCCATAAACTCTTCCCTAGCACCCGCAGCCCTAACCTATATAAAGCTTTATTCAGAACAGCACTTTGCATGACACTAAGATTCAAAGCAGAAACAATTAAGTGCACATTTATTCAAAGTCCAATACACAGAATGGCAGAAAGGGACCCAAGGGTCATCCAGTCCAACCCCCAGCAATGCAGGAATAAAACTATTTAATTGATTCAACAAAACTGATGAGCTTGATTCAGTGATACCAGCTGCTCAAGGTCTGCTAGACACCTAGCGCCCCCCTGCCCCCCTGCCTTTAAGCACCCATATCCCTCAGGGGGTGCCACCACCCACTTGGGGAAGCACTGGGCTAATCTGATGCTCAGAAGGTTGCTGAGCACACTTCCTCCTTCCGGGTGATGCCAGGACCAAGTTATCCCAGCAGGGAAACATCCTCAGATTTTCAGCTCAGAGGGTTCAGGTTTCATTTAAGTGAACCTTCTTATAAACGGTTCTGGCTGAAGACCCAGCAATGAATACAAAGGAGGAATCGCATCATGGGGGAAGAATCAGCCGTGAACCACAGGATCCCACATGGCCTCTCTCTCTGGGCCAAAACCGGCCAGCTCCAGGCATGTTTTCCCTTTCCACGAAGGTTAGCTATGAAGCAGCTCTGGGAATAAACCCCGAAATTAAAGCCTGAAAGTCTCAACCGGGCAATGGGACCCCTCAGCCCAAGATGGGGCAGCAGCCACTCACTTGGTGGGGTTTAGAAGGGGTTGGGTGAACCTAGGCAAGCGGGAGGGAGAAAAGAAACCTGGCCATGGCTTCCAGCTCTCTGGGGTCATCCCTGTCTTGATTGCCTTCCAACCCTACAATTCTGACTCCCGAGCCTGGGGGGAAAGGCCCCCATGGCTCGCCTCCTGCTTGGGGGGCTTCCCAAGGACACCAGGTTGGCCATTTGTGGGAAAGGGGATGTGAGAGCTGACAAAAAGCACTTTCTCAGCAAGGCTCTTTCTGCAATTCCCCTTCAGCCCAAGCATCGTCAAGAAGCTGGTCTTTGGCACAAGGTGGAAAGGAACAGACAAGTCATCAAACCCAAATTTTGCTGGGTGGGGCGAGGTAGAATATATTCAGCCAGCCCGAAGTCCACAAATCTCCCCCCCCCCATCTGCAACCCGCCAGGCCAAATCTGAAGCTGGTTCCACTCAGCCACCAACAGAGAAGCCACCGAGGTCTTCTGAAAACTGAAGCATCAGCCAAACATCCAGAAAACTGCCCGACTCTTGTGCCAAAGGCTCAGCCCTCCAGAACGGGAGGGATGCACACATGCAGTGCAGCCTTCGTGATCCAGGGATGAGTGTAAGAGCCGGCTGGATCAGGCCCATGGCCCATCTAGTGCAACATCCTCTTCTCACAGCGGCCTGTGGGAAACCGGCAAGTCGGATCCGAGTGCGAGAGCCTCTTCTCTCCCGCAGCTTACAGCAACTGGGATCCAGAAGCCTTGCCGCCTCCAGCCCACCTAGCTGTGGAGCAACAGAGCTGCTAGCACATTTGCAGAGCAGCGTCTGGTAGGAGATCCTGTCTTGTAGGGGGTTGGACTAGATGACCCTGGGTGCCCCTTCCACCTCTGCGTATCTATGATGGCACGGCAGGGCCACTGTGGCCGGCAGCCACCAACAGCCCTCCCCCTCCATGAGTTTGTGGGTGCCCACCACTCTCTCCTGCACAAGCCCCATGAACGGCTCGCTGAGGCTTTTTAGCAAACCTCAAACTTTGTGTTCTTTGGGTGTAATTTTCACAAGCAGAAGATTCCTTCCCAGGTTGAGCAACAGCCAAACCAGTCTCCCCCACCACCACCCAGCTCAAGGCAGGCAAAGTTGGGTTTTTCATTTGTCCGCAATCACATCGCTTGGCCCTTTTTGCAGTGACTTCATCGGCCGCGGCTCATTTCGCCTTCGCCCCCCTCCTCTGAAAGATCTCCGCAAGCTCCGTGTTGACCACTTCACATGACTTCATCTCTTTCCCCCGGAATGGAGCCATGCGACACCGTGGTCTTCAGCTTGCCAGAAAGGCCAACCAACAGGTTTCCTCTCGAGAACGGCTTGAGAGAGTCCCGGGTTACGGGAGGACCTGAGAGTGGAGGAAAACTCCTTTTCCGTGGTGGGCGGGAAATGAAGGGGCAGGGGATGGAAAGGGCAAGCGAATCACAACTTTATTTCAAATAGCTTAAATCACACGCACACAAAAGATTTTACAGGGCTATGACTATGTACAATGACACAAAATGCCTTTATTACAACCGGTACCATTATAAAAGCAGCACAAACAGACATTTCCTGGAGGAGATGGCCGGCGCCCCTGGAACGAAGGGGCCGGTTTCTGGAACCTTCTGAGACGGCCGGGTCTCGTCCATCAACTGAACCTGAGGCGCTGGCGGTGGGGCTGCGTCATCGACCCCAGAGTTTAGAAGTTCATTGGAAATGGGGTTTTTAAAAGCCTGACATTATGTGGCATAAAGCTAGCATGTCAGACAGAGCCATTAAATAAAACTTGTATTCTAATATACAAACATTTCATTTCGGAACGGGGATTTTTGAGGGATAAAGTCATGGAGCTCTTCTCAAGTCTTGAGGCCTGAGACAACGGAGGAAATCGTTTCAGAAGGAACTTGCAGCATTTAAGAAAAAGGATTCTTCATCTCTTTCACTCGGACCCTGTGCAGACACAGTCCTGATAACTACAGTAGATTAACTCATCCAGTTAGGAGGGCAATCCTCATAAATGCTCTCTACTAAAAATAAATAAATTTTAAAATGAGTGCAATTTTGTTCAAAAGTATCCAATGTGAAGATTGCAATGAGAAATTGATTCTCCACTTTCAAATCAAGTGGCTTTTTTTGCATTGTATTCTACAGTAGAATTTTAGCACTAATAACCGGAAGGGCACACGCACAAACAGACACACACACACACACACTTTTCAGGCTCCACCGTGAAGGCTGGAGCCCCAGGGAGCTGTCCCCAGTCGCATGTGCAAGCCTGGACTGGGGAGAGATGTGCCCCATCGCTACCCCCAAAGATATACAGACACATGGAAAGGGGCACCCAGAGATCCTATGACCGTATCATTAGCTACCTGGTAAGGGAAGAAGATAAAAGCTTTAAAAATAACCCTGAGGGATACCGATATATATCTATATATATCATTTTAAAATCTGGTTATTCTTCTCTTGAGCTAGTCCTTTAGATATGTGCATAAATAATAATAATTAAAATTAAATTAAAAATATTTAATTGGCCATATTTACAATCCTGACACAAAGAAGGACAAATTTAGACTTTAGGTCCACAAAACGCAAATAATTTAATAAGGAACTCAGATTCCAAGTTCTCGACGTGACCCTGGATTTGACTGCAGAAAGGCAAAACAGCTTTCCGGAGTGTTGGAGGGCCCCCCATTAAACCATCTTGTTCACCTGAATTCACAAGCTTTTGAGGAAGATTCAGCAAGAAAAGGAGTCCTCAATTTATTAATTTTTTTAAAAAATACCAACTCAGAATTTGGCGTGGAAGCTGGATTCCGGAGGCCAGAAGACGAACCTCTTTTCCAAGCTCGCCCCAAGAGGAACAGCGGCTGAACCCCAGCCCAGATCTCAGGGAGGCCAAAAGCAAATGCGCCCCAAACTCCCAGGCCAGGTCACTTCTCGCCACCACACTAACAAATGGCTTCCCCCAGCCCCTTAGTGAGACCTGGCTGCCCAGGAGAGTCCCAGATTTTTGCTTCCCAGCGGTTTTCCCCTGGGAAGCACGGGGGCAGCCAGCGAGACTCCTTGAAACAGACACACCTTCCCTTCCCCTGGCCAGGACTCTCCTGCATTGCTCCTGAAACGCAAGACGCTCTCTCTGCCTCTCTCTCACACACCAACGGAGCTACTGCACAGTCCAATGAAGTGCTGGCAAGTCACAGTCCCAAGGTCAAAAGATGCATAGCTTCATGGAGGATCTCTTCCTTCTTTTTAAGCAAAATAACCGTGCAGTTTGAACAGGGGAGAGAGAGAGAAAGTCGCTGCTGCTGCTGCTGCTGCAGGCTCCGTCAACCTGCTCCACTCGCACCCCGAGGTGTCAGAGCGCCGGGTCCCAACCACCCTCCACGAGGCAGCACCACGGTGGGAAGGGAGAGGGAAGCAGGCGGCAGAGGCCCAAGGCGTTTGCCCCCTTGGGGGCCAGGCCCCTGCAAGAGGAGGACTCTGGGGCCAGGAGCCGCCCAGACGCTGCTTCCAACACCACCTTTTTCTTGAGGTATGAAACGGCAGGAAATGGAGCCGGCGGTTTTGCTGCCGCTCAAGAGACGCTGTCCTCAGAGGGTCATTTCCTCCTCGAAGGCTTGCAGGTGCCCCTCCCAGTGCACGGGCTGCCTCCTCTGCAAGGCTCCTCTCTGCCAGGGGCATCAGCAGCCCCAGGGCAGGATCAGGGCCACTGGGCTTGGACTTCCAAAGCAAAGACCCCCCCACACACAGATGGGGTGGGTGCCCCATGGCCAGAGGGAGGCCCAGCCACAGAAGCCAAGGGGCCTCTGCGGACGGAGGCAGAGCCTGGGGAAGGGAGGGGGGTCAGCCCTTGGCACCCAGGAGCCAGGAGTAGCCAAATGATCCTTGGCCCCTGGAGCACCTCGGTGTGCGCGCACAGGCGTGTGTAAACAGGCCAGAGACCTAGCGTGGCCTCAGCAGATTTAAAGCACTTGGTGCTGGTGGTGGAGCAATTCTTTTACCTATTTCTCAGTAAAGAATATGGCTGAGCCAGGGGGCAGATGCTTTGCCTGCTTCCTGCACGGAGCCTGTAGCGAAGCCAAGTCGGGCAAAGCCTTGGCACAGAGCGGGGGGTGCCAGGAGGGGACTTGGAAACTAACCGTGACGTCCGGCACCCTCTGCTCCATGCAAGGCGGCCGGGGTCAGGCTCTGCAGCACACCGCAGACCAGTGGCATCCAGCACCAAGTTTGGCAAACACACACAACACCCACACTTTCTGGTAAGGGCGACTCACCCCCTCCTTGCTGGGCTCCAAAAGTCCCCCAGGCCAGCCGCCGAGGTGGAAGGAACCAGCGCCATGCCAGGGGCGAGAGGAGCAGTGCCTGAGCCCAGAACTGGCCAGCGGAATGAGGCTCGGAGAAGCCGGCTGGAAAAACACCCAACGTTTTGCATTGCTTGTGAAAAGTTCTCTTTCGACGGGACGCTGAACTCCAGGGATGGAGGGGGGCGAGGGGGCGGCCTGAGGGCCCCGAACACGTGCTCCGCAGGCGGAAGTGTCTCCAGAGAGGGCAAGAGGACGCGCCCGGCCAGGCCACTGCTACGTGACGGTGATGACCTGGCAGGCGCCGTTCTGGTGGGCCAGGGGGGCCTTGGCCTCCGTCGTGGTGCAGGGCCTGGGCGGCCACTCGGGGTCCACCAGCAGCTCCTGGGCCAAGTGAACGTATTTGGCTTTCGGGGGCTTCTTCCTCTTCCGGAAGCCCAGCACCGAGGGGAGGGCGCAGCCGCGGCAGCACCCCAAGGCCTCCTGGAGGGAGGGAGAGAGAGAGAGAGGGTGAGACCCCACAGCCAAGGGCAGAGGCCAGGTGCACCCCCACCTGCCCAGGGCAGGCAGGGCCCCGTGGCAGCAGTGCAGTGCCAAATGCCCCAGAAGCATGCGCCTGAGGGAGCCACATGGAGGTGGCAGGCCATGGCGTCAAGAGGAAGCACATCACTCTCTGTGCCCGCCTGGTGCCACCAAACACAGGTTGCCCAGCTGCCATGTCCTCTCCCTGTCTCTATATATCTATAGCTCCCAGGCTGGCTGAATTTCAGCAGTTGGGCGCAGGCTTGTGGCTGACATGGAGGGCGGGGGTCACATAAACTGCACTGCGGCCCAGTCAGAATCCAGAACAGCAGCAGCAGCATCTGTGGTCCAGCCTGACCCGGGCGGAGCTTCCTTGCTCCTGAGCCCAGGAGATCTTCCCCTTCAGGGATCTCCTTGGGGACCATCCCACCCCTCCTTCTTCTCCTTGGGGTGGGAGATGGGCAGCCCCTGCCCTGAGCTTTCCCCCACTTCATCATTAAAACCTGGGTTCGAAACGTTCCCTCCGTCAGGGCCTGCTCTCCTCAGCCTAGCCTACCTCACAGGGATGTTGTGATGAACGTGCATGCCATCCTGACCTTTCTGGGGGAAGGGGCAGGTGGTGGCAGAGACCCTGAGGAGAACCCCAACCCCCCAAACCTTGACCCTGATGCAAATTAACAGCCCCCTTCCCCTGCACCCCCCTGGCCTTCAGTGAGCATCACAAGGAGGCTGTTTAAAGCCCCCCCCCTTTAAGGACACTGGCAAGACATTCACAGGCTAAGGGAAAGGGAGACCCCCAGACCTGCCCAACCTGATACCCTCTGAAGAGGAAGTGGGTGGACACAGAGTCAGACCCTGGGCTCCGCCTTCCCTATGCCAGACTTTCTGGGCCTTGGGTCCCCAGATGTTTCTGAATTACAGCTCCCATCATCCTTGACCACGCTGGCCGGGAATGATGGGAGTTGTAGTCCGACCACCTCTGGGGTCCCGAGGGCGAGGAAGGCTGGTCTCCCGACTGGCAGTCCTGGCTCTGCGGGGCTCCAGAGAGGGGTTGGAGCAGGCGCTGTGCTACAACTCCCCCCAGCCAGCGCAGCGTGTCTGGGACTGGTGGGAGCTGTGGGCCAAGGGCTGGCAAACTCCGTGGGCCCTCCCACCCCCCAGCATACAAACCCACCCCGTCCCCAGCCATGAGGGTCTCATGCGTGGACAAGGGAGAGTAAAGCACAGTGTTCCAACCTGTGATGGGTGGGAGGAAGAGGAGAAGGAAGAAGAGGAGGAGGAGGAGGAGCCTAGGCGGTTTTCCCCTTGCTTGTCTCGGTGGAAGACAACTTTCCAAAGGATGGTGTCAAGGAGGAAATTCTGTGGTGTGTTCCGGGGAAGGGGAAGAATCAAGAAGAGCAGCCATCATTGCAGGTTAGCGAGAAGAAGGTCACAACAACAGCACGGTCAGGGCAGAAGAAAGCAGCACAAAGGCCTGCCTCTCTCTCTCTCAGGGCAGGACTACCAAACGCTTGGCTCTTGGGAAAGGGGGCGTGCCTGGGTGGGGTCTCTGGCCCAGGCCTCCAGGAAAGAGGGAAGAACACCAGAAGGGCCTGCTGGATCGGGCCCACGGCCCACCTGCCCCAGTATGCTCTGCTCACAGTGGCCAACTAAGTGGGAAACCCGCAAGTGGGATCTGAGCCCCAGAGCGACACTCTCCCCCTCACTATGGGGCAAAGCCCAAACTATCCTTTCAGTTCTGTCGGTCAGACCTGGACTGAGAACCGTGTCCTTGTTTGCACTTCTCCTGATTGATTGGCCTGAAGTTTTCCGACAACTGGGCTGACAGAGATCAGGCAGAGATCCGTTCAACGCTTCCACCTGCCAGGGGCTTCCAACTCATCACTGAGGGGCTGGCTGGCTATTCCCAGTCCCAGAGCGTGGGCGGAATTGGGGCTCTGGCAAAGCCGGGAGTGGGCACAGGGAAGAGCGGCATGTTCTGGGAGTGCAGAAGAAATGTGGCGTGTGGGGCAGGGCCCGGTGGCAATTTCCTGTCACGGTGGCTGCACAGATACGCTAGATGTTTTGGGATCCGGAAGCCAGAGAGAGGTGGTGGCTGACGGATTTCATGTGCCCTGCTCCCCCACACACACCCCCTTCTTGAGCAAATAGTGGAGGGCAGAATAATGGAGCAAATACGCATAGGTTATATACTTAAGACACCTCACAGGGTCCACCACCAACACCCGCCATCCCAGAACACTGGCACTGACAAAGGAGGGTCTGAAAGAAACGCCCCCCTCCCTTCGTGGGGCTTTGTGCAAATCAGAACCCTGCCTGCTGGACCAAGATTTTAAGCAGAAAACACGCAGCCACTGCCTCCAACCTGGCCAGAGAAAGCGCTCCAAACGCTGCCAGGACTCACCTCCACCAGAAGGGAGACAAAGGCGTTGATGACAACGATGAGGAGGATCCGGATTCGCCACGGATACGGCACGCAGACCAGCTGCAAAGCAGAAGAGACACGCGTGTGCAAGCGTGAAAAGGGCGAGCAGAGACGATGCACACAATGGAAGACCCAAGAATCCAGCGTCTGGGCTTCCCTAGGCCCCTCACTTGGGCCAGGCCAAATTTTTACCATCTACTCTTAAAAAATTGTATGACTTCATGGAAAGGCTCCTGGTGGGATCCTGAGCGTGTTCTGAATGGAGAGAACTGGGGATGATTCTGAGGCCACATGACGACAGCAGGATCCCTCAGGTATTATTTCAAACTAGGGCTTAAGTCTTAATAGATGTTTGGCAGGAGAAAACATCCCCAAGAGGGGGATTATACCGTTTTCTCACATGCGGATGATTTTTTAAATTTCTAATGATGTTTGGACTCAAGTGGGAGAGACTAATATACATTCAAACGCTGCCTCAGAACACCCCATAATTGCTTTGGAACTTTATAAAGATCTCTCACAGAAGGTAGCCTTTACATGGCAGTTTGTGACACAGTCACTGGCGCATGGAGGAACTGGAAAGCCAGCAGGGACAGGTGTCTTGGGGCGGGGAATTCTCTAAGGCCTCTAAGGAGCAGCTGGTCCCTCACTCACTCACACCAAGGGGTTGATCTGATTTTGCAGGGAGAAGATATTCCTGATGCATATGAAGTCTCAGATGGTATTACTGTAAAAACCGTCAAAGATCCTATAGCAATGGGGTTTCACTGCCCCACTCTGGGGAGTGACTGGGGGCTCTTTGCGCTGCCCTGGGGGCGCCCCTGGGACTGGCACCGGGGAATGGAAGGGTGGCCTCTTCTGGGCTTACCTCAAGGAACCAGTCGATGGGCTGCAGGGGATGCAGCAGGACAAAAAGGACGAAGGCATACAGAACGATCACAGAGATAACGAAGAGATCTGAGGGCGGGAGAAGGGGGAGAAGAGAGACACCTCTGAGCATGCAAAGCCCTGCAGTCTCGCTTGGCAAAACTATCTCCTTGTGCCGTAATTCGGAGGCTGTGAGGTTGCATCTCCCGGAGCCCATTCCCAATCCTGACCCCCTCCAGAGCCAAGGAGCCCCCCTCTCCCTCCCTGTCCAACTGGAGTCTTCCCAGAACACCCACCATTGTGTAGAAGAGCCCCCTCCATGAGAGGTCCGGAGGGTGGCAACATGAGAACGGGCCTTTTCTGCAGTGGCTCCCCACTTGTGGGCTGTTCCTCCCAGGGACCTGCCTGGCACCGTCACTATTTCTCTTTAGACGCCAGGAGAAAAAATTACTCTATAACCAGGCCTTTAGTCTGTATCTGTGGCCTCTTAGATGTGGGTGGGATGTTCTTAATGTATTATATTTCCTGCTCCCCTTGCTTCTAATGTATCTATGTGGGGTCTTGGCTGGCTGGCGGTTGCTGTTTTTTTGCCTTTGACAAGATAAAGCGGCTATCCATTTTAATATACACAATATATAAGAGAGAAGGGTCTTTTGACAGGCCCTTTAATAGCTCCTTTCTGCCCCTCTAATCCCAGGCATTTTCTGCCCTTCTCCTGCAAGCAATTCCGCCAGCAGAGAGGCGAGAGCCGGACTGCTTCTCTCTCTCCAGGGCAGGGGGCATCAAGGAATGGCAGCGCCTCCTCTGCAAGGAAGCTGAACCCCACGGAGGGCGAGGGCGCCTGCAGGAAATGCCCCCCGACAGAGCCCCCCTCCCATCCTGCTTGCCCAGCAGCGCTGCTCTGGCTCGGGGCCCCTTCTCCCTCCAAGGCCAAACTCTGGCACACGTACAGTTTTTGTAGCAAGGCTGCCTGAAGGGCCTCCCTTTGGAAAAGGCCACAGCGACAATGAGGTACTGGAAGCTGGAGATGAAGAAGACCGTCGTGTTCTCGTAGTTCCTGATGTTGTGCTCGTCGTGGAGGGTCTTGTTCTTGTGCTGAGAGGTGTTGGCAAAGGGACCCCTAGAAACATTGCAGGCGCTGCAAAACCGGGGAAGGGGGAGGAATTAGATACACACACACACACACACACACACACACAATTTATTAATTTTATAATATAAAAAAAAACCAAAAAAGAACATGACAATAAAAAATGAAATCATACATCTTAATTGAATTCCCTCCACTCCCCCCTACTGGTTCCATTATTTTATGCTTGTTCATGCACATCCATAAAATCTTACATTCTTAACAGTCCAATATTCATCTTGTTACAAGAGACTTTTAAAAGTTCAACCAATGTATACACAAAGCTTGCAAGGTCCCTGCTCCTGCCCACCTAGCAGTTCGAAAGCACATCAAAGTGCAAGTTGATAAATAGGTACCACTCCGGCAGGAAGGTAAACGGCGTTTCCATGCGCTGCTCCGGTTCGCCAGAAGCGGCTTAGTCATGCTGGCCATATGACCCAGAAGCTGTACGCTGGATCCCTCGGCCAGTAAAGCAAGATGAGCGCCGCAACCCCAGAGTCGGTCATGACTGGATCTACTGGTCAGGGGTCCCTTTACCTTTGCCTAACACACTCTGTCTGTCTGTCTTTCTGTCTGTGTATCTCTCTCTCAGTGCTTCTCCAGCAAGAGGAGACAAGGCCAGCAGGGCCCAGAGAGGTGCCAGCAAGTCCATCTCAAACTCACCCCTAAATGTCCTTGGAGAAGGGAAGTCTATCATTTCAAGGGCTGCAATTAACTATATTAGGTCAACCAATTAAAAAAAACCAAAAAAACTTTGAGAAAGTGAAAAGATGCCCCAACTAGTTAAGACCAAAAAAAATTATTAATACTATGATTGCTACTTTTACTATTTACTGGACCCAGTGTGGTGCTATTAGTACATAAAGCCCTTAACGACTTGGGACCAGTCTACCTGCAAGATCGCCTGACCCCACCTGCACCCCCTCCATCGCTTCACTCGGTGGAAGGTGGCGCTGCTAGAGGGGCCCCAGGGGCCCCACTCTTCATCTGTAAGAACACAGTTCATTTAGTGTGGCAGCAGCTGCCCTTTGGAACTCCCTGCCTAGGGAGATCAAACAGGCGCCTCTGCTGGACTCTGAACCCTCTTCTTTAGACAAGCCTGTCCAGATGCCTGGAAAGTTGTGGTCTTTTTAATCTGTTTAAGTATTTTAAATCAGAGGCCCACTCCTCCCTTATCTTCTGAGACAGACTACCATGGAGTCGGAAAAAAAAAAAAAATGTTTTCTCTTTCTGTAAACCACTTTGAGGCTTTTTCTTATATATATAATCAAGTGGTACATAAATTTTATAAAATAAGAAATAAACAAAATTAAGAGGCAGACACTTTTGAGATGGTTCCTCCTGGACCCCCCCTCCCACATCCTCCATCACCAAAAGGGACGTGGTCCGCAAAGGGCAGGCGGGGTCCCACAGATTCCCCAGAGAAACTCTCCTGCCCCCGCCGTGGGCCCAGGCGTGGCCCCCTGGGGCAACTTACTCTGAGTGAGGGGTCCAGGTCTCATACCAGGGCTGCTGCCTGGCCCACAGGAAGCCCAGGGTCTGGAAGCCAAGGCAGATGAGGATCTGGGAGAGGACGGAGCAGAGGAGGGGAGCCGAGATGAGGCCGGAGGGGGGCCTCTGAGCCACAAGCTCCTTCCAGGCAGGATTCAGGCTCACTGCGGAGAGAGAAGGAGCTCAGAGCCAAAGGGAGAACCAACACACAGCCCCGAGCAAAGCTCTGCACCAAACTCAGGAGCACAGAGCTGCTCCTTCTGCACAAGGCTACCTGCAAGGGGGGGGGGCTGGAAAGGAGCTATGGTGACGCATAGAAACTTGAATTTTGAAGCCCCCCTTTCCCCCTGAAACCACACACCAGAATTGGGCAAGGAGACGGGATTCTGGGTTTGGGATCTCCAGCTGCAAAATCGCTTGTTGCCTCCCCTTTCCTAAGGGTATCACTTGTTTCCTGGGCATCAGCTTCTGCACAATGAATTCTGCAGAACTCCCAACTCTGCAAGCTGCTAAGGCTGGTGAAGGAGGCGGGGAGGCGGATACTCACTGGTGAAGACCACCACCAAAATTATTGCGAGATCAATGAAGAGGAACTGGAAATCTCCCAGGTTGCTCTGGATCTGCAAAGGAACCGCAAGGGGGATTTCAGAGGGGATGGAAGCAGGCTTCTTTTATGCCCTGAAGGCCAGCTAAAGGGCTTCTTGGAAGCTTGGGGGCTCATGTCCCACCTCCGCCGGGAACCTGCTCAGAGGCCTTCTGCAAGGTGATTTCCCCCCAACCCATTTCCCCACCTGCCATGAAGCATTTCTGGTTGAAACGGAGATGAGAGAGAAGCAAAGATTTGCACAAGGGATGAGCCATGGGGGGGGGGGGGCAAAGATGGCCGTGAAACTCTCCCTCCTGTTCCTCACCTGTTCAGGGCCTATCAGGTGAGAGTGGAGGAGGGAAGGGGGTGGGAGCTCGTGCCTCGGAGCCAATCAAAGGGAGAGAAGAAGAGCTTCACATACACACTCAATGTTGTGAAGCCCCACCATCGGGGGGGGGGGGACTCAAATACTCACAGAATACAGCAGGGTGACACTGACGTACTGGATAATACTGTACAAAGCCATGAATTTGAACACACAGAAGGAGGTTATTAAAGCAGCCCGGCCTTCCCTGTGAAGACAAAGAAATCCACATGGTGAAATCCAGGTGAGTCAAGAACTGCATACCTGAGGCCAGGTAAGAGCTTAGGAAGAACTTCCTGGTGGGCAGGGGAATGGACTCCCTGGAAAGGCCGGACTCTCCTTCGCTGGAGGTTTCTAAAGAGAAGCTGGATAGCCACCTGCCAAGGATCCTGCAGCCACACTGATATTCTTCTTAAACGGAGGTGCCCAGAACTGGACACAGGACCCCCAGTGGGGCTTGACCACCCATGGCTATTCTGTGCTGGGCTTCGGTTGCTGCTGCCGCCCTTCAGGCTGGCGAGAGGCTACGCAGCACCCTGACCTGGCATCCCTCCCCAAAGGGAAAGGACTTCTTCCACCAGGCCCTCTTCTTGGCTGGCACCCCCACCTCTCAGGGAGGGGGGTGGCTGTGCCCAGGTGGGACCTGAAAGACCCTCCAAGCGGCCCTTACCTGATCAGGCTTGGCACGCAGGAGATGCTGGGCGTCCGGGAGGTGAAGGGAGACGCCACAGAGGCCTCCAGCTCCGAGAGGGAAATGCCACCGTGCGCCCTCTTCAGTGCCTGCCCAGTCGCAAACAGAGCAGAAAGGAAAGGGTTCATTCTCCTGGTGCAGCGAATGAGCCGCGGATGAGAATCGCGTGGAAACGGAAGAGCCTACTCACCCCGCAGTCGTTTGCCCCGTCGCCACACATGCCCACGTAGTAACTGCAAGAGCAGAGAGGGGGAGAGCATGAGAAGGCAAGAGGAATCTGCTGCACCAGCCCAAGGCAGCCCACCCGTTCTCACAAGGGCCTCAATGGGAAACCCGCAGGCAGGACCCCAGGACAAGGGCAACTCTCCCCTCGCTGGCTTCCTGGCTAGGGGCCGCTGTTAGTCCTCTCCATGAATCTGCCTCCTCCTCTTATAATTCACCCAAGTTGGTGGCCATCCCTGCCTCCGGTGGGAGGGAGTTCCATAGTTTCACCATGCGTTGTGTGAAGATGCAAGCGAGAGCCAGGACCCCACAGCATTTTGGCCCAAAGGCAAGCCCCCCCCCCCGAGCCCGCTTCTGCTGCCTGGTGTCTGGGCATCTGGGCTGAGGACCAGGACCAGGGCTTGGGAATCCTGAGCTGCAGCAAAGATGGTTCCAGGGCGTTACTCCCAGCGGGAAGAGAAACCTGGGCCTCAGAACAGGGCACATCCAGAGAAGCGCCTTTTAAAATCACATTTACATGCAAGAAAGCAGAGGAGAAGCTGCTGCCCAAATCACCGCTGTTGGCTGTGATGAAGAAGCAGGGCTGGCTGGCATCGTTGGGTGAGTGGCAGCCGGGCAGCCAGAGATGGTGAAGAGGAAGAGCGCTGGTGCCCCCTGGAGCGAGAGCGAGAGGCCTCCACGCTGCTCCAGGCTCCCACAGAGCCAGGCAAGGGGCCACGGCTGCTTGGCAAAGCCACTGCCAGAGCGACAAGCCTTCTCTGCAACACAGGCCGGGACGCAAGGCCCCCAGACCCCCCCTCTTCACAGCAAGGAGCCATTACAGTGTTTGAGGGGGCCAAAAAGTATGACATTATGCATGGCATTGAGAAAGTGGATAGAGACGAGTTTTCTCCCTCTCTCCAATGAAGCCGAGTGCGGGAGGATTCAGAAGACGGCACAGACTTCCACTACGGAACTCACTTCCCCCGGAGGCAGCGATGGCTGCCAATCTCGATGGCGTCTGGAGGCATCTGGGTGACGCTGAGAGAAGAGGACGCTGGACTGGCTGGGCCACCAGCCTCATCCAGGATGCTCTCACTACGCTCTCAAGGAGCTGAGCTGAATGTGGCTTCTGACATCAGTTCCACAGCAAGTTCCAGTTCACAAAAATGTCATCTAACGCTTTGGGTAATGACTCATTCAGTAAGAAACTGAAACTTGGCTGTGTTTTCCGCAAGAGGGCTGTGCTGCTGTGCCCGTCAGAGGGCGTCAGAGAGCTCTGCGTGGCATCAAGCACCACGTGCGAGTGGTGGGCAAGGTGTTCTGCCTGAGCCTTCTGACTCGAGAAAGACCCCACAGCCCTCTTCTTCGCATTGCGCTTGTCCAGGGGAGAGCAGCTCCATGCTTGTCTCCCCCTGCCCCCCAGAGACAGGACACAACAACTTAGGGGGCAGGCACTGTGGGGAAGGGCAGGGGCAGATTCTTAAAAAGTGGCCCTTTGGTGCCAAGTGGACTGGCCAGCCGGCCCCCAAGCAGGCTGAAGCTTGATCCCCGATTGGGAAGAGGTCAGGGGTGTGGCCTGGGCTGACCTCTGGAGACCGGCTCCTGCCTCCCTGGCCCAGAGGGAAGGGGCAACACCCCTAACTCGGCGCGTGGTTTCTCCCGGAAGGGCAACCCCTTTAAACCAGAGAACTGCGGCTTCAGCGTTTTAAGAAGCTTTGGGGCTGCCTGAAGAGTCGGGTCAAAGCAGCAGCAAGAGCAGCGGCAGCAGCAGCGTCAAAATTAGAGGGATACTTACTCTACGTTTTGCAAAGCCTCCACCAGCTGGGTTTTCTGGTCCGGTGCCATGCGGGCAAACACTGTGCCATGCAACACAAGCTGAAAAACAGGGGAGGGGGGCTCTCAGCAACGTAATTAAAATGGGGGGGGGAGAGATCAAGCATTTCAACGGCAGGGACGCATTTCACACTCTGGGAAACTCCCGCAGTGCTTCTCGAAATATGGGGCACAGCCCCTGGTGCCTCCAAAGAAGATTGCTGGGGAAAGTGCAGAGAAGGAGAACCAAAACTATTCCAGGGTGGAAAGACCAAGGCATTTTCGTTGAGGGAAAGAGAGTCTCTGTGGGGTGTAGAGGCTGGAGGGTCAGGCTAGGACCTGGCAGACCAGGGTTCAAATCCCCCCTCGGCCGTGAAGCTCACTGGGCCACCTTGGGGACCAGCCACTGCCTCTCAACCTAGCCCTCCTCACAGGGTTGTTGTATTAATTTTTGTTTGGGGGGAGGAAGAACATGTGCCATATATATAATAAAATAATTATTACTATTTCTGAAGGCAGTCCTGTATAGGGAAGTTTTTAATGTCTGATGTTTTACAGTGGAACCTCGGGTTACAGTGGGGATCCATTCCGGAGGCTGCAACCCAAAGTGCCACATTTGTGCATGTGCGTGGTGCGATTTAGTGCTTCTGCGCATGCACGAACAGCGCAAACCCAGAAGTAACCTGTTCCGGTACTTCCGGGTTTCCGCTGGTCGCAAGCCAAGGGTCACGTAAGTTGGAGGCAACGTTACCCGAGGCTCCACTGTATTGTGTTTTTAATATTTTGTTGGGAGCCTCCCAGACTGGGCAGCATATAAATAGTAAAATTATTATTATTATTTCTTTCATTTCTACCCCACCCATTTTCCAAGGAGCTCAAGGTGGCTGCTTATTATTATTATTATTATTATTATTATTATTATTATTATTTCCTCCTGGGGGAAAAGGTGGGACAGAAATAAATGAATGAATGAGAAACTCTGGGCTGGCCAATGCAACGGGGCTGGCAGGAGACTCAGGAGAGAGAGAAGAGGACTTTCCTACATGCAAAATGCATCATGGACTTGCAGACGTTGCTGCCACAGGCCAGCTGGTGGCTTAGCTGCGTGGCTTTTTAAAGAGTGAGACAAACTGGGGGTGGGAGGCGGCTACCAGTGGCTACTGGTCAGCACGGCTATTCAGTGGCCTGGCAAGTGTGTTGTCGTGATGCAAGCACTTCGCCTGGAAGCTTCCTGAAGGTTTCTAGAAAAGGGGGCGCACGGTGGAGACATGGGAACTTCAGCTTTTTATGCAGCAGGGTTAGCCTATTCTTAGCAGCTCCCAAACTTAAACTTTGCCTTTTAGTTAGGAAACATGAACTTGGTTAGCATTCAACTTCTGGTTACACAGCCAAGACGGCTGTCAGAGCAATACTGAGCTTCACGCGACGCTGCAATGGGCAGAAACAGCAGCACAGAGCACTCAAAAGCTCCTACTCCATCCTGGGAGGAAACAGAACATTAAATGTTCTTCTGCAAAAGTCATCATCTCATCTGTTTCTTTCTATTTGAGACATCAGAAAAGTGGGGGGAGCAGGGGAAATGCCCCCTCTGGTTGTCTGTGCACCGTGAGAGAGTGAACTAGGAAGTTAGAAGAGACGTTTCATGATCCCCCTCCCGCTCATCTCCCGACGATGGGAGTTTTGCCCCCGACTCTGGCCACCCCGAGAACTGCTCCAGATACAGACCTTTGGGACGAGGTCCTGGAAATGCTCCTGGATGACAGCAAAGGACTTCCCGTTCATCGCAAAGTGGTACTTGGTCACGTGGGGGTCCTCGAGTCTCTCGGGGGGCAATTTGACGGGGATATCCTGCGACAAAACAGCAAGGGTCATCAGCTCGCAGGCTCACCTGAGAAACGGCTGCCAATTTCCTCTGGCAAGCAGCAATGCTACGAGGAACACCTTTGGAAAAGGAGAAGCTGCAAGGGCCGGGGGCCGCCTTAAAGGAGGCCTTCCACCTTCATCTTCCATGCTGCCGTCCGTGCTGAATGCTGCAGAACCACTGCTGTCAGGAGGGAGGCCTTGTCTGCAGAGAACTCCAGGGCTCAGAGATCTGCACTGGCTGCCCATTTGCTACCGGGCCAAGTTCACGGCATTACAATTAGCACAGAAGGAGCTTCACAACTTGGGACCAGTTCACCTATGAGATGGCCTGACCCCACATAAACCCCTCAAGCCGCTTGACCCACAGACCTGGCAGCTCTACCAGGGCACTTTAGACTTACCATATTTTTCGCTCTATAGGGCTCACTTTTTCCCCTCCAAAAATTAAGGGGAAATGTGTGTGCGTCCTATGGAGCAAATGCAGGCTCCTTGGCTTCAGCGATAGCAACGCGAAGCCTCCGAAGCGCAGAGGGAGCGCACCCTCCACGCTCCAGAGGCTACGTGTTGCTTTCGCTGAAGCCTGGAGAGTGAGAGGGGTCGGTGCACACCGATCCCTCTCGCTCTCCAGGCTTCAGGGATAGCCACCTGAAGCCTTTGGAGCGCAGCGGGACCTCGCGCTGCGCTCCAAAGGCTTTGGGTTCCTTTTGCTGAAGCCGTGAGAGCAAGACTCTCCTGGCTTCAGCAGAGAGGGAGAGCCGCGCAGCGTCCCTTCAGCCAAGAGGGAGGAGAAATGGAAGGGGCTCCATTTCTCCTGCCGCTTCGCTGAAGGGGCGCTGAGCAGAGAGGGAGAGAATTTTTTTTTTCTTGTTCTCCCCCTCTAAAACAAGGTGCGTCCTATGGTTGGGTGCGTCCTATAGAGCGAAAAATAAATACGGTAGTTTGCACTTGCAAGAAACCGATCATTTAGTCTGGCAGCTCCTACACTTTGGACCTCAGGCAGACGCCTTCACTGGACTAAAAACATCCTTGTACTGCTGCATTTTTCCTTGATCTTTTTGTCTGTCTGTTTTTTGTAAACTGCTTTGAGTTCTTTTTACAATCATGCTGTGTTTAAATGTTGTGGAATCAATGAATGAATAAATAACTCTGGGCTCCAAGCAACCACAAGATGGGTTGGGTTGGAGAAAGAACAGCAGCTCCCGCCCCGCCCTCCCTGTGACCGACAGAGCTCTGCCGTTACCTCCGAGTTAATGGCTGGTGGGGAATCGGTGCCTTTGGCGAGGGCATCTGCATAATGCCAGTTGATCCTGGCGGTCTGGCCGTCCTTGGGGGGCAGGGCTTCAGCAATGATCACCTTTTCTTGAGGTAGAATCATCCCACAGTCCCTGGCCACAGAGATGGCCGTCAGCATGTTGTCACCTGCAGAGAAAAAGCACGGCATGCTTCGCTGGGCCTCCGTTTCCCCTCCTGGCCAGCCCTTCCTCGCCCTTCTAATTCTTCACGTTCTGCCATCCACCCCCCCCCCTTCTGGATCAGCTGTTTCCTCGTTTCCGTTTGCAATCTCGAAGGATCACAAAATTGCAAAGTTGAAAGGGACCTGGGGGTCATCTAGCCCAACCCGCCGCAATGCAGGGACCACAGGAAAGGAACCGCTGACAGAAGGTTGCTCCATTCATCTCAGTGCAGCACCTCTCTCTGGACTACACAGCCCTGCTCAGCGGCTGCACAAGGACCGCCCTCCACCCCACCTGCTTCTGCCTTTGTAGACAGAAGAAGATGGAGAGGCTTGGGGAGGGGGGCGGAGGGGCTCTGAGTCTGGCTAGAGGAGGGGGCCACCCAGAGCTCGGCTGCAGGGGGCTGCGCTGGAATAGAAACTCCAGCAGCAACAACATCACCAACAACAAGAAGAACAACGCAGAGCCCCTGGCCTGGATGAGGCCCTGGCAGCCCAAAATGGCTTCATAAGAGCAGCTCACCAACCTGTAACCATGACTGTGCGGATATTGGCTTTGTGCAGAACTTCAAGCACCGCTGGGGTTTCTTGCTTGAGCTTATTCTGCATGACAATTAAACCCAGGAAATCCATGTTGGCCTCAATGGCATCTCTGCAGCAAAACGGGGGGGGGGGGGGGGAAGGGGGGGAATGCAGACAAACACCATTAGGAAAACTACAGTTCCCCCCAGGGCCTGATGCACTGCAAAGAAAAAGTCACTCTGGGGACAATTTGCAAATGCCAACACATTATTCATGGCAGCAAAAACAGCTCCAAAGGCTCTGTCCAAACTGGGTGAAAAGGCAGTAAAGACCTGTTACTATTATTATTATTATTATTAAAGAATTCCCTTTTACATGCATCTCATTGTGATCTACAAGTATATCATAAGATTTAAAATTAAAAAGGCGGTTTAAAAAGTAGTACTACCACCCTAAAGACTCAGCAACAATACAAAAATGGCAGAGACCTTTTCATTGAGCTAGACAAGGTGGACAGAACAAACGTGTCTCCCATTGTTTCTGGAGAGGGTTCCACAGACCAGGGGCAGGTGCATCGGAAAGCCCCCCTCCCAGCTACTGCAAAGTGGGACTCTGCCACATGAGGCCTTTCAAGGTCAGACCTTCCCCCACGGGACCCGATGGCCGAGGGAAAAGGAGGTCCCTTAAGGAACCTGCGCAGGGACGTGCGTCCTAAACCCCAAAACCTTGAACTTGGCCTAGGAGCGGATAGGCTGTGGGTGCGAATCCCACAAGCAGGGCATTATGCAAAGCAGTGTTGCCCGCCAATGTCTGAGGCCGAGCCTTGTGATGGCTCTTGAGAAAGGCAACACCACGGGCCATGGGAGCCGCAAGGAGGTTCAAGAAAGACTTCCTTGCAAAAGGCACAAATCCCTCAAGACAAGCTTAGGCGTCTTTCAAAAACTGAATTAACTGGACAAATTGGTGGGAAACAGCTCTGTTGGTGGCTTTTTGCTTAAAAGCGAAATCTCAGGGATCAGAGGCTGCCCACGAGGTGCTTGGGAAGGTGTAAAGGGGAAGGAGGGCCAAGCCTGGAGGGACCAGGGCCAAGAGCCCAAAGGAAGAGTGAAGAGGCCGCCTGTGACCCACCGCAGGGCTAGGGAGTCACACGGCTTCAAATGGGCACCTGCCCCCCGCTCACTCCGGAGTCCCACCATCCCAGCGCTCCTGCCAGGCGGGACTGCGTTGCTCTGGGATGCCAACTTACCGGGCGACATTCTGGACCTTGTGCCAGGTCAGCTTGGATTCCAGCCTCCTGTGCGCAAGGGCAATGACACGGAAGCCCTGCCTGGTGTACTCCTCCAACACCCTCTCGAAATCCACCGGCACTGGAAGGGGATTGGAAGGAAAGGGATCAGAAGAAGCACCTTTCAAGTGAAGGTTTGGGCGGGGGGGAAGGAGGAAGGAAGGAGCCCTCTCTCCCTTTACCTGTCTCTTGCTTGCACAGTCCGGCAACCACCTCCGGAGCCCCTTTGGCGTAGGCATCCATCCTCTTCTGCCCGAGGGCTCTGGCCACCACGCACATCCGTTGCAGAGCGGAGGAAAAGGGAAACTGCCGCACGATGCCAATCTCGTAACTGGCCTAACCGAGCGAGAGGAAGGGGGGAGTCAGGGCCTGCTCAGCAGCACAAGGGGGGAGAGGAAGGGAAGGGGCAAGAAGAGAAGCGGAGAGAGAGAGGGAGAGAGAGAGAGAGGGAGAGAGAGAGAGAGAGAGAGAGAGAGAGAGAGAGAACACTCACCGAAAGTTCAAAGAGCTCCTGCAAAGGGGGTGGAAGGAGAGGGGACAGAAAAAATAAAATCATTACTAATAATAATAATAATAATAATAATAATAATAATAATAATAATAACAACAACAACAACAATTTATTATTTATACCCTGCCCATCTGGCTGGGTTTCCCCAGCCACTCTGGGCGGCTTCCAACAAAACACTAAAATACAATAACCTATTAAACCTTAAAAGCTTCCCTAAACAAGGCGCCAACTGCTTTCCAAAAGAACGAGAAGGCAGCTCGGCTTCTCCAGCGTTGGAGGCTCAAAGCAGCTTCCTGTCAGCTGCCCAACTGCCCAACCAGCATTTTCCCAGCCCCCCCCCCCATCTTCCAACCATCAGGTTCCTCTGAGAGACATCTATAGGGAAAGCGCCCCCCCCCCCGAAAACGCCCCCCACAGCTGGACTGGTCAGCCATGTGGCAAGAGGCCACAGGTCTGCTGGGCGACCGCAGCTCCCTGGCCAAGGAAGGCCCCCGGCTCCAGGCTCCAGCCCCGCTTTGCGGGAGGAGGGGGCAAGGCGGGGGAAAGCTCTGCGCAGAACTACCATGTCCTTGTCGGCTGCCGGCTTTGGGTCGGGAAGAAGCTGCTTGGGTGGCTGGACCACGGTGGGCATGATGCGGTTGTGGAGGGCGGTCTCCTCCTCCGTCGCTTCTTCGAGAATCTGAAGGAAGGAAGCGCATGTGTGAGAGACGCCCTCTTCCAACTGTGAGGAGCGTAAGAGAGGAGCCCAGCCGGATCAGGCCAAAGGGGGGGGGCAACCACCTCCCGGCCAGCATCCTGTTCTGGCCCAGCAGGTGCCTCTTGTGGGAAACCTGCAAGCAGTGGGCCGAGCCCAAGAGCATCTCTCTCCCCCTGCAGGGGTTTCCAGCAACCGGGATTCAGAAGCACCATGGAGGCAGAGCAGAGCCATCCTGGCCGGGAGCCAGCAATCCTCTTTTAAAGCCATCCCAAGTTGGTGGCAGCACTCCCTCCTGTGGGAGGGAGTTCCACAGTCTAACTCTGTGCTGCGTGAAGAACGTGTTGGCATGCAGAGGGTTGCAAGGGCAGCTGGCTAGCCCCAGCTGGATCGTCTCCTTCCAGCTGTCCTGCTGCGAAGACCCATCAGCCTCTGCTCTGACGTAAATCAGCAACCCAGGCTTCCAAGCCAGGGCACACTATATCAGCCGAGTGAAATGCGCACACAGAACAGGCATGAGGCTTGTGGAAGCATACTACAATTACGGATTTATTCATCATAAATCAGGACAAAGAAACATGTCGCCTCTCTCAGCGAGACAGGGAAAAGCAAAATCTATACACACAACCGAGATTCCCAGCAAGGTGGCTGGTATGTAAACAGACATGTGACATGCAACAGTTCCATGTCTGCAACTGAAGGTGGAATGGAATTTTCCAACAGAACGCCCCTTTCCTCTTGCCAGATGGAACAACCCACCACTTCCTCCCACTGTGTGCTCCTCTGCGGGTTCTCCTGACCCCCCCCCCCGGTAGGTGTGGGAGTCTACTTCCTTAAGGTGAATCCCACCCTATGGCCTTTCGGGGGTGGAATCAAGGGCTCAGGTGGCCCTGCTGCCTTGCAAAGCTTCGGGCATCCCAAGAAGTGGACCGCAAGGAGAACTGGCTGCATATTTATTCATTTTACTTACATCTTGCCCCTTAGCCACAGACATACACTTAAAACCCATGCCTCATTTGCACCTGCGGAGTCTGAAACCCCAAACCAAACTGCAGGCAATAGGAGAACTGCCAGCTTCTCACCCATCCAGTGGCTTCAAACATCTTCAAGTCAAGCGGATCTCCTGAAAGGACTCCATCGATTTTGGTCAGGGAGTGACAGGTTGCCATGCAGGCAATGAAAGGCGACTTGACGAGGCTCTCGCTGCAAGCGCTTTGCTCTGGCAAGAGGAAACTAGATGCCGAAAAAGAAGAAGATTGGGAAGACAGCGTCATTCACAAGCCAGGTGAGCTGGTTCTGGGAAGGTCCAATTCCCTCCCTAGGCCTCCAGACGAGACCGATAGAAGAGCCAAATTCCACTCAGCAAAAAAGCTGGATAAATTCTATCTGGAACCAACACAGAGCTTTGCGAGGGCACCAGCTGAACTTGAGACCACTAGAAGAGCCTGCAGGATCAGGCAAAGGAGGCCCACATTCTCTGTCATCCTGCTCTCACAGGGGCCAGGCAGAAGGATTTAAGCACAGGAGCAGCGCCCTCCCCTTCCAGCAACTAATAATGCAAGCATTAGAGAGGAGTTCGGTTGCCGAGATTTCTGGGGCCGCCACACCCTCAGTTCCACAGACTCATCTCCAGTGCCCCCTACCCTATAAAAAGCATTATTCCCACTAAGGAAGAGATGAACACAGTAAAATTTGTAACAGTAACAATTAATTGCCCATTTATTCAAAACCCATCTAAAACTATTCAGTTCAATCAAGTCAACCAAACTGATGAACTTGATCTAGGGTTACCAGCTTTTCAAGGTCTGAGAGTCATTTACACCTCCAGCCGCTTAGCGCCCCCTAGGGAATCCCACCCAGGAGGTCCTGCCAGCCCCTATGGGCACCACTGGTTTAGATACAAGGGGCCATGGGGTGGCAAGAGGAGGCCTTTTCTGCAGTGGCTCCCCGCTTGTGAGGTGCTCTCCCCAGGGAGGCTTGCCTGGAACCTTCACTACATATCTAGGAGCAAGGTGAACATGTTTGTCTTCTCCCAGGCCTTGGGCTGGTTAAATGAACCTATGGCTTTTTAATTGTGGGGGTTTTTGGCCGGGGTGTGTGTTGCTTTTTTGTTACAACATGACATATTCTGTGTATTCATTTTGTTTTTTTATGTTGCAAACTGCCTTGTATCCTTCAATTTCATGGGGCTCCCCTGGCATCCTCTGATGGGCAGCCCTGGCACCTGGCAGAGCAGAGCAGGACCAGCTGAGGAGCCTGGGAGAGGAACTGGGTGCTTGCCAAGAGGAGAGCGCACGGGGTCCCTTTTGGTTTGGCCCGAGGGCCCTATTTTAACAGCAAGAAAGCCCCCAAGGCGGGCGACGTTCCACGGAAGCAGCTTACCGAGTGTTTTCAACCCTCTGGATTCCCCAGAGATCCAGGCCGTCTTCGGTAAGGGTGCCTGTCTGTGGAGGGGAGAAGGAACATGTGAAAAGCAGAGCCAGAGATACTGAGCAAAGTCTTTGGCCACTGGCCTAAGCACAGGGAGCGCCATCACAAAATGCGTCTAGAGGACTAACCCCACAGGGAGCAGGCCGACCTGGAAACCAGAAGGCAGCCCCTGGCCCTGTGGGCTAACCTAGCGGGAGGCCAAAAGAGAAGGAAGAGGGGAGCTTCTGCAAATACTTCTTCACCTTCCTCACACCTCGCTGCAAGGCTGTGAAACTACTAGCCAGGACCCTCGGAGGGGAGGGGGCCAGACAGACGCCCCTCTGCCCCAGTCAAGTTTAGAGGGATCACATTCTATGCCCAGGAATCACCCTGTGCCAACAGCAGTGGCTGCATTTCCACATGCTGGCCCTGTGCAACTACAGAAGGCCAAGAGCAGGACTGCGGCAAAGGTCTTGCCGCCTGGCACTGGTGGGCAGTGGATGTGTCAGCCTGGCAAGGCCTGCCCCTCCCTCCCTCCCACCCCTAAAGCAGCAGCGGGTGGAAGGGAGAGGTTCTTGACATCGCCGCACTCGCCCCAGGCAACCTGCCCAGCTCTAAGCCCCTCAGAACACGCAAGTGCAATTCATTAAAATTAATTAGCCTTGCGTAAGAAGAGCCAGAGGAATTCAAGCTCCCTGCAGGATTTGCTTTCCAAGGCTCCCTCATCTCCTGCCTCTCGGCTCCCTTTGTTGTTTTTTCCTAAATCAAAGGAGGTCTGTGATCAGCTCTGGAGGAAAAACAATTTTAGAAACAAAAAGCAAGGCATTCAGAGATTAGAGGGCCAGGCTGCTCATGCTTTGTTTTGACCCTGCAGGGAAGGGGTGCAGGGTAGGATCACCGGGCCCTGGAAAAAAACCAAAAAGTAAAAATAAAGCCATGCTTTTGTGGCTATAATAGCCTCAGAGGAGGAGTCATCAGAGTTTTACAAAAGCACCGAAAACTTTTCCCTCTAAGCTGTGCCACTTCAAACTCCGCTCTTCTTTCCCCCCAGCAAAAAGGAAGATGGCTCTGTGGTCTCTCCGTCCTCCTCCCACTCCGCCTGCGCGCTCAAGCGGAATGAAGGACGGGGCTTAAAAGGGAAGAGGAGGCGGCCAAACACCTGCAGGCCCCAGGGAAAGGGGAGGGCTGTTTCTGAGTGACTGCATAGGTGGCAACCCCCACAGAGGCAAGCTCACACGGATGCAGCGGGGAAGGGGCACTTGCGCTGCAGAGGGTCAGTCTAGATGGCCCTCGGGGTCCCTTCCCACGCTGCCATTCTACATGCAATAGCTATTCAGGCTCTTATTGGCTGTTTCTTTTGCTTAGGCTCCTCCCCTCCAGTCGCCTACAGCAGCCATCCCAGAGGAAGTCACAGGCCTGCAGGGCCTCTCCACCAGAGACCAGCAACTTCTCCATCCTTCCTCCCACCTCAGCAAAACCAGGCATCTACAGGCTATGAGGGAATCTGGGCACTGGCCAAAGACATGCACGAAGGAATTCTTCACTGGGTGACGTCAGAATTCCCTGGCTACTTTCTGCACAAGCTTCCCAAAAAGTTATCAACACTCTCCTGATGCTTATTAAAAGATTTTCACATCTGTTGGGCAACGAAGCTGAAGAAACCCTTCTAATCCCCGCCCAACACAAGTGCGCTCTCTCTGTGACTTCTTTGCAGGGATCTTACTGTATGAATCTCCTGCCCAGAACCTTCCTGAGGGGCACTAAGCAAGGAGAAAAATGCCAGGGTCCAACTTTTGCCCCTTCCTGGGTCTGGCCTCGGCTCAGGACAACGCACCCGCCTGCGTCATTCCGCACAACTGAGCATCACGAGCCCCCCTTAAGTCTGTGGCAGGAGGATCTCAGAAGCCTCATCCTGAACTCAGCTCAGAATTTCTCAAGGAAAAGCAGTTTGGCAAATGATCTCAACCTTGTCAAAGCACACGAGGTTCAGCTGGCCGCAAATGTTGATCCTCTGAGGGCTGATGCAGAAGATGCCAATCTTCCTCAGCCGCCGTTGTGCGTAAACGATCCCCGCCGTCATGGCGGCAGGAAGAGCGGGCGGCACCGTGATGGTGATGATGTCCAGAGACTCGATGATGATGATGTCGGCCGAGACCTGCGGGAGGGGAGGAGGAAGATGAGGGAGAGCAGGGGCCAGCAGAGGGGGCCGGTCCACTGTCCCTCAGACCTTGGGGGGGGCAGACTATATTTTTTTGGGGGGGAGAACGAATTCCTACGCCCCACAAATAACCCAGAGATGCATTTTAAATAAAAGGACACATTCTACGCATGTAAAAACACACTGATTCCTGGACCATCTGCAGGCCGGATTTAGAAGGCAATTGGGCCAGATCCAGCCCCCAGGCCTTAGTTTGCCTACCCATGAGAGAGAGGGTGACTCACCGCTGGCTGCCCAGAGGCCAGGCTGGGTCCAGTTCAGCCAGCCCTTCAAACGCTTGCGCTGAGAGATTCCTGCAGCAGATGCTGTGGGAAGCACCCACGTCTTTCGCCAGAGGCATTTCCGAGAAATGCTTTTGCGTTGCCTTTGGACACCTGCAGCCTGCTGATCTAGCAGCACCGTTTCACCCAGGCAAGAGCTTGTACCAGGGGAAGGAGGGGAACTGGGAGCTGGGATGGGGAGCGTTCCTTTAAGTGTGGAATGTCCCAGAACCAGGCAGCTGCTGGCACGAAGCCCCCGCCTTCCTCTCTCTGCCAGAGGTCCTGTGGAAGCACCGTCTGCTGGAGCAGACAGGCAGCTATGCAAACCTGGGAGGCCATTTTCCATGCTCCTGAGATGCAGGTTTTGCAACAAGCATTGCGCACACCTGAGGCATCCGAGGGCCAGGGGCTGTAGCACTGCTTTCTGGTACAGTGGAACTTTGGTTCTAGAACTTAATCCATTCCAGGAGTCCGTTCGACTCCTGAAACCATTCAAAAACCAAGGTGTGGCTTCCAATTGGCTGCAGTAGCTTCCTGTACACAAGCGGAAGTTGCATTGGACGTTCAGCTTCTGAAAAATGTTCGCAAACCAGAACACTTCCAGGTTTGCGGCCTTTGGGAGCTGGTTTGTTTCTGTTTGGGAACCAAGGTACCACCTTATTTCAAAAGGAAGCCCTAGCAAAACTAACAACTGACAATCTATGCTTAACACAACCAGCTGGGAACTATGTGAGTCGGCCATTTCCTCAGAGAGCTTTCCGGATTGGGTCAAGAAAACCACGCGGCCGGCAGGTGTGTTGCATCTGTGGCTGGGCAAGGGGAAAGAACAAGCCACGTCCCCAGACAGCTTCGCTTGGCATTTGCCCAGATGCGGTTCTGCCTAGAGACCGTGAAGGAGGAGGGGGCTGAAGCAACCGCCCGCCCCCCCCCAGCCAGTGATGGATCTGGCAAGGAGACGAAAGGGGTGGGACTCCTCCTACCTTGTGGAGAATGCTGATGACAATGGTGTAGAGGAAGCCGACCCCTGCCACCCCCACCAGGCAGAGCAGGAACATGTAGGCATCTCGGTAGAGCTTGAAATCCGTTGGCTTTGGATACAGGATGGAGCGGACCAGCTGCCCTTTAGAAGTGCTGAAGCCTAGGAGGAAGCAAGGCGGCTTTCAGAGACGGGATCAGAAGCACAAACCTACAAGTCCCTGCAGCTAGAAGCCAATGCAGCATTTTGTTTATGGCTGTCTCTGGGCAGGCTAGGCAGGCAGCAGAAGCCCCTGCTACAGCAGCAGCAAAGCCCACCTTCAAGGACAAGCAAGTCACTCAGAGCTACAAGGGAGGAGAAAGGGCTTCATCAAGGGAGACATGCAGATCTTCCAAAGGTGAGCCCTTCGGGTGAAGAGGCGAGGGAGGGAGAAAGCAAGTGCCCTCTGGAGGGATCAGGCCCAAGGTCCCAGCTTTGGTCCCGAATAGCACCTGCAGGTAGGGCTGGAAGAGACCTCCAAGTCTGAAGCCCTGGGGAGACCCTGCTGCCAGCTTCCATGGAGGAGAGGGCGAGGGCTGGCTGCCAGCCACAACGGTCGGAGGCAGCAATGCTTCTGCCAACTGGTTGCAGGAGGGGACAGGCCTCTTGGGCGCGGATCCTGCTTGCCAGACTAGATGGGCCACTGTGGGCCTGATCCAGCAGCACCTTCGTACGTTCAGGGCAGGCAACCCTGAGCTCATGGGCCAATAAAAGGCTGCTTTTGGTGTTTGCACAGACTCCCTGAGGGCAGCATCGGAGAGGCAGGAGGGAGGAGGCCAGAGGGACACCTCAGCCTCAGCACTGCACAAAGCTGCCAGCACCAGACTAGGTCGGATGCTGCAACTTGTTATGAGCCATCACAGCTTAGCAAGAGAGAGATAGAGAAATCCCAAAACCAATCAAATAAAGAGCTGGGCCCTGTGCCCAGGATGGCCTCCTACAGATGCCGTGCAGCAAACACACACTTGCTGCCTGTGCAGAAGGCTCTGTCTCACCTGTCCTGACCACAATGGCTTTGACCAGCTCCCCGGTGTAGAAGCGGGTCTGGATGACGGTCGTGCCGCAGAACAAGGTGTGCCTCCGGTGCCCCTCGGGACTGTACACCTCGTCCGCCAGGCCCCCCTTGGACTCCTCCGTCGGGTTCGGCAGGTTGGTCTTTGTGACGGGAACGCTTTCGCCTTCAACGAGACAAGGGCACAGCTGACAGGGTGGAGATCCCAAGCCCCAGCAGCACCACCCAGGTCCCAGCTGCGGATCGGGGCCCCGCCGGGCCCTCCCCGTTACCTGTCAGCATGCTCTCGTTCACGATGCAGGTCCCGCTGAGGAGCACCGCGTCGCAAGGCATGATCATCCCGTTCAGAGGGACCACAATGACGTCCCCAGGCACCAGCTCCGTGGAAAGGATCTCCTCCACGCCTGGAGGCCGGGGAGAAGCAAAGGGTGAGATCCTGGCCCGGCAGCTGCTCGGGCTGCTCTTCTGCTCGGCCAAGGGCCCAGGGTGGCTGGCTGGCTGCTGTCTCTCCAAGGGAGCTACTTGCTAGGAGAGCGACCCCTGGCCCACGGGAGATCCCTCAGCGATTGGGACAGGGAGCGCTATCCAAGGTTGGAGTACAAGACACACCCCAGCTAGGAGAAGGGGCAGGAGAGACAGAGAGACAGAGAGAGGGGCCCATGTGCCCATGCAAGAGAGAGAGACTGTAGTCTGAAAGGATGGTTGGAGGTTGGCTGCAGACTGAAAACACCTTTGCAGGAGGGGGCACTGCAGAGCCTCTCTCTGGAGACCTCGGCCAGTGAGCAAGGAGGTATTACTCGGAATAGACCTCCTGCTATTAGCAGACCTAACTTACTCCTGCTTATTCATTTCAATGCATTACCGGCAAGTAAAACCTAGCTGATTGCAGCCTTATTTATTTACTTGCCGCCCACCTTACTGGGTTGCCCCAGCCGCTCTGAGCCGCTTCCAAAAAATGGTAAAACCACAGTAAAACATCACACATTAAAAACTTCCCTATAGAGGGAGAAATGGGTCTGCAGTCTGTTGGACTCCACTGGTGCTTCCTGGAGGGCCCACTATGGCCAGACCCCACCCCTGGGCCCAGCCAGGACAGTCCCCTGGGAGAGATGTCCGGAGAGAACTTGCCCCTCCCTCCAAGGAAGCCCCCCTCCCCACAAGGAAGGCGGCAGATCCTCTTTCCCTTTCAAATAAGCACGGTCCCCCCCCCCGACCTACCTTGGTTTGCTCTGCTGACCGACACCCGGGTGACGCTGTGAGCAGCTACCAAGTCATGAAGCATCATGTATTGCTGGGGAGAGAAGGGGGGGCGTTAGTCAGAATCGCTGGCAGAAATGCCGAGCAAGTCGCAGGAGGTCAGCCAATGCCCCTTCCCCTGAAGCAGTGGTCCCCCCCCACACACACACACACCTGATCAGCCTCTTCCTCCATCTCCGAGTGGTCCTGCCTCCTGAACCCCCGCCGGTCAGCACTGCCCCCTGCCCTGAACCCCAGGAGTCGCTGGCTCAGTCTCCAGCCCCCTCACCTCTGCCACACACTCGCCACAGCCTTGCCAGCACTAGGCCAATCCAAACGTCACAGAGTGGCTTGCAGGGCCCGGGGTGCCATTGAGTGGCACTTGCCTCCTCCTCCCCCTCCCCCCTGCTCCATTCTGGGACCCTCAAAAGCTCCCACCCTATTTCTGTTGCCCTAACAGATGTATTGCCCAGCTATGGATTTTGACATTTTTCTTAGGGCCAACATGGGTATCTTCACCATTTTTGTGTGCTGGAATCTAGTTCCGAATCTTCTCTCCTCCCAACTGCTGCCGCCCAAAGGACTCTGGGCAGCCCCCAACAAAAGAGCTCCATCAGTGCAAAGGCTTCTGCCTGCCCCATGGAACGTCTCCTCCCTCTCCTCTTCCTCCCCAAACCTCCCAGAGCAGGACTGGGGCAGGCATAATGGGGGGGGGGTACACCAGGAAAGGAGTTATTGGACATTCCACAGCACCCACCTATATCCTTGCACTGAGGGATCTAGTTTCCTGGATGCCACCCTCTGAGAGGGCTGGGCAGAATTGGGCAAGGCCTCCTCTGCCCCTTAGTTCACCCCCAGAACACACTTTGCACCACCAGAGTCACACATCTTTCAGAAGACCCGGCTGCCCTTCTGACCGCCCCCCTCCCACCCTCCGCTAGTCGCCATGTGCAGCTGTCACAACACGTGAGGAGATTTCAAGCTACGCCGGTTCAGCTCTGCAGGCTGCAAAGCGTTTCCAGAGCCGCACCCTCAGCTGGGAAGGGGAAGAGTCAACATCCGGCTACAGCCCCACCCGTTGGGGGTCAAGTTGCACTCAAGAGCAGCAAACCTTAACAGGCCACGGAAGCGGAAGTTTGCCGCTGGGATGCCAGCCCCAGGGGAGTACCGAGGCAGCAGCTCACCTGCCACAGGTAAGCAGGCAGGCAGGCGCTCAAAAACAGCCCTGGAACTCACCTTCCGGATGGTATACAGTGAGCTAACAACAGAGATCAGAGACATTATCACAATGGCTGCTGCATAGTAGTAATATTCATCTGTGCTCCACAAGATCACACTGAACAGCTGGAAAATGTAAAAAGGATTGAGGACCTGGGGAGAGAGAGAGAACAAAACAAAGCAGCGGATTATGCCTTTTGCACAAAGGAGCCGCCCTCCTCTCTCTGGTGCCGAAGGTCAAGAATTTCATGGCCTCCTATTACATACATTTTTAGAATTCAGACCCATCCTGGTCTGCGTGGGAGGGGAGTGAAGAGTGTGCCAGAAGAGCACATGGCAAGGATTCAGAGCTCCCCTCCTCTCCTGGCAGGGCTGGCCAGCTCAGTGGGCGCAAATGGTGCCCTTGAGGACTTCACCCGAGAAGCTTCTGCGCCCCCTTGCTCTCCCCTTGGCCATCAGGTGGTGCTTCACCCTTGAAAAGCACGTAGAACCGAAGAAGGAAGTTGGAAGAGGAACACCCTCTTTTGAGGTTCAGGCTAATTTGACTGGCTCTGACTTTCACACACACCTCTGCGTGCATGCAAAGATCGAAAGGCTGCGTTCAATGCGGCTGTTCCGCTTGTGCAATGGAACTTCCCCCTCGACTCCCCTGCAGCCCCGTCAAAATCTGCTCCAGGGGGCTGAGGGCTCCTCTGGAGCAGATTTGGGGGCCACGCAGGGACAGGAGGAGGAGGAGGAGGAGAAGCGTCGCTGTGCAAGCAGAGTGTCCCCAAGGGGAGCTGATCCTTGACTGAGGAGTGGAGGGTGGGGAAGTGGGCCCCACAAGCCACAGAGGGGGCACAGGAGTGGTCTAAGGAAGGGGGCAAGCACCCTGGCACCACCTGTTAGTTCCTATCTCTCCAAGGCCCCCAAGAGAGTTTCCACCTCAGTCAAGTGGTGCCACTCCAACGCTGCCCATCCCCACCAGCTGCCCTGGGTCTTCCGTAGCATCAAGGCCTGGCGACTGCAGCATACAACCACCTGCCACTTGAATGCCCTGGCATGATGTCAGGCCTGGGCAAGAGAACAGCCTTGCCGTCTGCTTGGCTTTCCTTAAGAGGCTTGCGGCTCACGGAGAGCGGACGTGACACTTGCCAGTTGAGAAGGAAAGGGCCACGTAAAGCACAGAAACAGAAAGGACCCCCCCCCAAGAAGACAAACTGCCACAATTGCTCCAACCTATCTGGTGAAAGCTAGAGCTGCACTTGCAGGTCTCCAGAACCAGAGGGGGAATCCAGGCAGGTTTCCCCTCCCTAGCCTTTAACCCTTTCATGCACAGTTAATCCCCAGTCCAGATCCCACAGAGCAGCAGGTGGGAGCCCCCTTCTCCTTCTCTCCCGCAAAGAAAGACACATGCAATTCTTACCTCCTTAATCAAAAGTTTAAAAACGGAAGGCACTTTCACGGCAATTTCATTTACTCCGTAGAATAATTTTCTGTATGAAAAACAGAAGCCAAATAAATAAAAATAATATTTCTAAAAAACAGAAGTGTTTTGCTTGCTAACACAAACAGCAATCTATAAATTACTAAGAAGGGGGCAGCGGCAGTGGCAGCAGCTGGCAGGGGGAGGGGGAGAGTGGTGAGAAGGCAGCTTGGTGTTTTGCAAAACCCAGCGACCCAGAATGGCTCCCCCAGCCCCAGCTGAAGGGCAGGCAGGGAGGCCCCCAGGCCCAGGGAAGAGATTTAATTGCAAAGATTCCACACACACACCCCTTTTGCACAAAGAAGTGCACTGCCATACACAAAACCACTACTGAGAGTAACTGCTCAATTTTCAAGAAATAGCTGCCTGAGAGGCTCCAGTACACCTCCCCCCCCACACACTTTTCTGTTTGAGCGTACCTGTAATCTCGCATCCCCTTGGTCAGCCCTGCACTGTGTTCATTATGGATTGCCGAACAGGAAGTGGAGTCATCCAGACCCCTAAAGGAAAGGGAGAATATCAAACGGAGTGTGAGCATGAGCGCGCGCACACACACACACAAACAGGTGTCACCAGCCAAAGTCCTTTTGGCAAAGAGGCATGAAAAACAGCCGGCGGCTCTTACTTTATGGAGCTGAAGTTCTGCACGGCGTCATTCCAGAAATACTTCACGCTGTGGTGGGTGAAATAACGGATCTGGAAAGACGCATAAATACAAGGAGGCCGTCAGAGTGTGTGACTTGACAGCGACTGTTCATAAAAGCAAACTGAGCTGCTGCCCTTTTTGAAAGTCAAATGGAAAAAAAATGTGTGCAGTCCCAGCTGCCCCATATTGCCACTTTTATTGCTTAATAATCTAATTATGCCCACTGCATTGGCTCTCTAATCAGAGGTCCTCACACTCCTGTGGCCACAAACCTGCCTGGGGCACCGGCTCCTTGCTACCCCTTGCAGCATGCTGGCCTTCCAATCAGAGCCCTGAATGGTGGAGCAGCTGAGAGGAGGGGAAGGGTCTGCTCACGCACCAGAGCCCCACCACCTCCCCCCAAGCTGCCTTTGTCCACAGCAGCCATCCCCAAGTAACCCCCAGGCGGAGGCAAAGGCACATGGATAAACGCTGCCCATTGGAGGCTGCCATGCAGAGGACGATCCCACAACTTTCCTACCTCCTGTAGGTGAGCCTGGGAACGTCTGCTCAAATCATTTTCGCCCTCTTCAGCCAGGTTGATGTCCAAATGACCACTGCAGCCATTTGTCATCTTCTCCGATGCATATTTTGGAGTCTGCAACAGATTGGGCCCCAAAGAAAGCACAATGCGAACCTTTGCACAAAACCATGTCTGGAATTCATCCTTTAAGAGAGAGAGAGAGAGAGAGAGAGAGCGCGCGCTTTCAGAACAAAAGTCTGACAGTGAGCTTCTGCGCCTTTGGATGATCTGACAAACATCGCTGGCAATTTGATATCTGCGAAGCAGGTGCTGAACTATACACGACTCTAGGCAGGTGTGTAAAGGGAGCCCCAGCCCAGAAGTGGGGGGCAGACTACACCTCTCAAGGGGGGTGCAGGATGACACCACTGGGCTAAGCAAAGGGGGAGGAACTTCCAGGAGATGACTGTCCTCAGGCGCTGAGAGTTCACCCAGACCCTTGATACAGACACAGGGACTCTTGCTTCCAGCTTCCTCCACACCTTGTAGGGACCCAAACACATGCAGAAGGCAGAGGGACATTCTGCGCATGCGCAACCTTTGCTGTCCCCTCTACATTTCTGTGATTTTATGAGATTTAATAATGAGATGCCTTTTAGCACCTCTGGCAGGCTTCTGCATAGAATTTACTTTCTGCTTTCTTCCCGTCTCCCCCAGCAAAGTCTGCCCCTTTCCCCTCTCCTCTTGAGCCTGCAAGGAGGGGCCAGGCCACTTTGGGTTTCTACAACACCCGGCGCTTCTCTACACACAGGTAACAGCTCCAGGCTGTGAATACGGCCCGCGAAGGCACCGCTTGGCCAGACTGCAGAACTGCACAAAGTTGGACAGACATGCAACTGGTCATTTCTGGGTGGTGGCCAGTCCCTAAGCTGAGGAGATCTCTGCACAGATCACATGTGAAGTCCAAAGCCCAGGGTCCTTGGGGCTACTGAGGGTCCAGGCTTTGAGAGCGGCTGCTCAAAACACTCCTTTGAAGAGCAAGCCTGCTTGACCCCTCGGAAGCTTCCACAAGAATTAAATAGTTCCTGCCACTTTTTCAGCCAGGGCGGGGAGGCAGAAACCAGGGAGATGACCCTCTGGATCAGACGCTCCTCCTGCCATGCAAAGAAAGCTTTGTGGGAGAAGCCTGTCCTGCCCAGAGGCCACGGCCAGCCTGGTCCTCCACGCCTCCCTGGGGATCTCCCCTGCCAAAGAGGGCGGCACTCACTGTTGTCCGCAGCAGAACCACTTTGCTGCCTCGGAGGGAAGTCCTCCTGCACGTCGCCTTCACCCGCCACTGAGGCATCCAGTAGAGGAGGAGGAGGAGGAAGCCGCCCGTGCACAGCACCCCCACAGCCACCAAGACCATCTTCCACCGGCAAAACGTGTAGCCGTAGATCTTCTGCAAGGAAGAAGGGGAACCAATCAGACCAAGGCAATGGCACAGCTGGCAGAACAGCCTCAGGACACCTCTGCTCTGCTCTCCCTCCCTGTGGCAGGACCAGGGAGGTCGCTTGCTTCACGGCAGGAGCCCAGGGGCAGCCACCCATGTCAAGGAGAAAGGGCAACTGCGAGACACACGGACACCGTCTGCTGCAAGAGCTGCAGGTCCTATCAGACTCTTGCTGGCCACTGGAGAGCAGGCCAAGAAGCCACACATTTCACCCTGACCGGCTGCTGACCAAGTGACAGGGGAAAAAACACCCAGGGTGAGAGGAGGGCAGAAAAACAGCCGGGGATAAAATCAAATGCAAAATGTGACCAGGAACTTGTCCCTAGTGAGTTTCTCCAGCCTACGCCTGAGTTCCAAAGCAGAGTTACTGGGGGGCAACTGAGAACATTTCGGAAAAATCGCTTCAGGCAAAAGAAGGGAGTTCGCTTTTGTGCTCAAGTGCTGCTGATTCCCTGGGGCAAAATACCCTCAAGATTTCTCCACCAGCTGTGTTTCTAAGCACCCACCTACTCACTCGCAAGCTCCAGCTTGTGCACTCAACCCCAGAAACCCACAGATGGGCAGACTGTCAGAAGACGGTGTGGGCTGTGACACCAGGCCAGTGAAACACTTCTGCGCATGAGATACATGCAGTAAAGGCACAGGGCGTAACTGCCAGGGGCTGGATTAGATGACCCTTGGGGTTCCCTTCCAACTCTGCAATTCTGTGATTAAATTCCACATCTCTGGTTTGCTCTCCATCGCCAGAAAATCCAAGGACACTGGAAGCCAGTGAGGAGGCCCTGAGCAGCTCCCAGACCCCTGCACACCGCAAGAGGCCGAGATGGAGGGCAGAACAGAGGGGGCTGTCTTGGCCTGGCCACCTTGAGCCTCAGAAGAGGAGCCCACTTGAAACTTCTGGATCAGGCCCAGCTGAAATGAAACACACTAGATGACGAAGCAAATGGATCTGACCCTCCTCTCTTCAACTTGGGCAGAATTTTACTGTCTGGAAGAGCGGAGGGTGGGGGGGGGAGTGGAAGGGAAGGGAGGCAAGCAGGCAGGTACTTGGAGGGCAGCCAGAGGCTTCTTTCCACTGTCACACGGCAGAGGAAACAGAAGCAGCGGGAGCCCACAGGAAGATGGAAAGAAATCGGGGCCAGAACTCTGTCCGGAGCAGCTGCAGGGAGGCTCTGTGAGCTCCGACAGCAACGGGGGGGGGGGGAAGGTGGGGCAGTCCTGACAAAGCAAACCCTCAATACCGACCAGAAGGCGGCCTGGGAACCCCCCTGCCCACTTTCTCCATACCAGGCTTCATTTTATAAACTTGTGCCAGCCCCCCCCCCTCCTTCTTTCTGCACCCCAAAGCCCAACGTGCCGTAAGCTTCCTCCTAGAGCGGCTGCTCCAGCCCCTCTCAGCTGCCCTGCTCAAAAGCTCTTCCTGCTCTACTGTTTCCTTTCTGAGGCGCACTGAATGGCACTCCAAGGGGGGGGGCGCACCACAGATGCGGAAAACGGCATTATGACATTGGCAAGCTGATTTCCGGCCCCTTTCCCTAAAGATCCAGGAGATGGAATCTGCCTTTCCCGCAGCTGCCGCAGCCGGGATTGACATTGCCATCCCTTTCCTGGTCATCCACACTCAAGGCATCTTTTCTCACCTGCTCACAACACCACCACCATGTTACTTCTACGCTGCCATCTGACTGGGTTCCCTCCCTGGCCTTGTCATCGCCTCCCTCCTTGCTTGGCCAGATCCTTCAGATCCCAACACCAAAGCGACTCTCCTTCAGGAGGAAGGAGGCAGGGGAAGGACTTCTGCGTGGGCAAAGCTGCTGCAAAGACCCCACACCAGGGGTCAACAACCCTGTGGGGTCTGTGGGCACATTTGCAAACCAGGGAAACTGTTATGGGCACAAACACGCACATGCCACAACCTTTCCCCCCCCCCACCAGCCAATAACCCCACCCGCCCCCAAAATCACACACGCCAAAAGCAGGCTAAAGTTGTCTATGGTGAAAAGAGGCTTCTTTCCGTGGAGGGAGGGGCAGGGGGTGGGACCCTGCGGGCACCAGGCCCCTGCGGGCGCCATGCCCCAAACCCTCAAGGGCAGCCCGTGGGGACGGGAACCAGGAGAAGAAGGAGAAGGAGAAGAAGAAAAGTTTGGACTTGATATCTATCCAGCCTTTCACTCCCCTTAAGGAGTCTCAAAGCGGCTAACATTCTCCTTTCCCTTCCTCCCCCACAACAAACACTCTGTGAGGTGAGTGGGGCTGAGAGACTTCAGAGAAGTGTGCCTGGCCCAAGGTCACCCAGCAGCTGCAGGTGGAGGAGCGGGGAAGCGAACCCGGTTCACCAGATTACGAGTCCACCGCTCTTAAGCACTACACCACAGCTTGGCAGCCAGTCTTCTGTGCAGGGGGCTCCTGGCATCTTCTCAGTCAAGGAAGAAAAGCCCTTCTATCCTCAGAGCTCCTGGGCTTGCAGACAGAGAAGCCTCACAAGGAGGACTCCAGAAAGCAAGGAAAGGCTCTGCTCCCTGTTTGAAAAGGAAGCAACTAAACCATAAAGCCAATTACCATCTCATCTTCCTCGCCTTTGTTGACCAGCTTTTCCTCATTCTCCATGTTCAGCGTGACGGGATCAGACACCAGCGGACCTGCGCTGAGAAAGAAAGGGGAAAAGAAGCCTTTATGAAACATATCGCCAAGATTTGGGGAGCCTGCAGCCACTGCCGACACTTCCTCCAAGGACTCCCCCCAGACCAAAGGGCGCACACCGAGCACAAGCACAGCTTCCCCAACTTTTCAGACATGAATCATTTCACGACACGGTAATTCAGTTTTACAAGCAAACCGGAGGTTAAACTAACCCCTTTCCAGATCCTGGAGGAGCGCTTGTGTGACACACTGCGGAAAGCTCTGTGCACAAGTCTGCTTAAGTGTCAGCCGCCAACTGCAGCCCCGACCCAGAAGAAAAACCATGGCAGGAGAACTGGAGGGTTATAGCTAGATCCCAACAGAACAGATGCAGCAGAATTTGAGCGTGAAACTCCTAAGCATACTTTGAATTCTGTGTGTTCTTGTAATGCTTTGCTCATAATACTTATGAGCATTTCTTCAAATATATCTATATATCTTTATCTATCTACCTATAGATAGATACACCAAGAGGTGAAATATTAGCCAGCGATGTTTCCAATGAGGCAACGCAGCTCAAACTCTCCTCCTCTCCAACCCACCCAGAGCTGTTACACAAGAGTGGCCAGCATGTTCCTTCTTGACCCACACATGCCTTGACCACCCTGCTAACGCAGCAGAACCCTGACTCTCCACATTTTAATGCATGAGTTCTTCAGCTGAGGGTTTCACAGGACTTTTCCTGCTTCTTGTCACCGTGGATTGCAGCTCGCATAGCAAATTCCCCATCGACGCCTCATTTAATCTTTCCACCTGTGGCCAACATTTCCTATAACCTCTTGAATTATTTTCACGTCTGTCCATAAACGTTGCATAGCTCTGCATCCCGACTGCATGAGCAATCTTTGCAAGAGCATCCCAAGAGCCCTGGGGCTGGATCAAGCCCATGGCCCGCCTAGGCCAGCATCCTGCTCTAACCGTGCACGAAACCTGCAAGCAGGACTGAGCACAAGAGTCCTCTGCCCCTGACTAGGGAGCCACAGCACAGCCACCAGGCCTGGAAGCCTCAGTCAGCCTTATCCTCCATGCATTTGCCAAAACTTTTTTCCAGCCCCCTGAGATGGTGGTCCTGGGGGAGTGAATTCCAGAGTTTAACTATGCACCCCCATCACTAACCAGACAGAGGAGGGGAATGAGGAACCTGCAGGCAGGGGCTGCTGTATTCTAATTTCTTTCCTAATCTCAGGTGCTTTATAAATAATAAAGTTATTAAGATCTTGAGACTGCCCTGAGAGACACTCAGCCAAATCCCTGTTCTCACTCCCCCCTCTGGAAACATCCCAAGAGCTCAGCTGGGCTCCACATATACTTGGAGCTGCGGGGGGGAAGAGACAGAGAGAGTTGCTTTCATACAGTTTTTCCACAATGCATGCTGAATTTCTATCTTACGAATATATCAGGCCAGCCACCATCGGTGCGCAGAAATCCCTGGGGTGACCACTTTCTGCAACACCACAAAACCAAGCTCAGAATATGTACAAAATGCTGAACAGGCCTAAGGCCACCCATACCTTCATTTTAGGCTACAACTTCCTCTCCTGCGAAAGACAAGAGTTTCAGAATGAAACCTGGCACAGCGTCCACAAGCTGATCCAAACGGCAAAAAAGGCCTCCGTGGGAAATAGCTGACTTCCTGTGCTCACTTACCTATGGCTGAGTGTTTTTAAGTGGCCCAAGGTGCCACCCCCTTGAAGGAAGCCTCCAGAGTTTAACTGTTAGCTTCAAAACAGTGAAGAGTTTCTTTGCAGGTGATGTTATAAAATGTGCTATGTTCTATAGTCAACATGGGTTTTGCCTTTTGAGAGTGAAGTCATCTCGTAACCAGGCATTTGCACTGGAATCAAAGGGTCACACGGTCCTCTCTCCCCACCAGATGAAATAGCTCTATAAATCTTGCTGACTGCCCTAAATTTATGAAAGGGTTTTTTGCACAGGATGCGTGAGTTGCCGCCCTTTGGGCTCAAACGCTCCCCAGCCAAGGCAAATGTCCCTCTCTTCACTCTGCAAATCAAAGGCTTCAGATGCCTCAAGAATCAAGAGCGACATCAAAGTTTGCAGCCAGCTCAGAGAAGGGCACCAGAATCAACCCATTCCATCCCCGGGTATCTTTGCGTGCCCAGCGATGCCTTCCTGGGCAAACCTCACTGAGTACATCTGCAGGACTCACAGAGCTGGCAGGAGAACATCTCCGCTTCCGTTCCCAAGTTGCCCACAGCTCTTTGAACATCCCCACCCTCAGAAGTTCTTCAAGAGAATGAGAGCAAGGCCTCCAGAGGGGCACAAACTCCCAACCGGCTGCCAAGGGTTCACCCACCAGCTATTCTGCACCCGGCCACAGCTCAGCTGCTCCTGTTCCAGCACGGTCGAGGGGAGGCCACGGGACCAAGCAGCGGGGCTAGAAACTCAGATATATAACCTAATCCCCAATGACCTTAAACCCAGGTTGCAGTCACCACAGTGGAATGATGGAGTTGTTATTATTATTCATTTCATTTCAATAGCACTTTCTATTTTAAAGAAGAAGTCTCAAAGCGGTTTACAGCACATGAAAACATCAAGTCAAACGGTCCAGAAGACAACCATTCCAAAGCTTTGAGGGGCATTTCCCAGTGACTTTTGGCCTTCCCCAGTTGCCAGCCAGGCATCCAGAGACCTCCACCTGGGCACAGCAAGTGGACCCGTGCCAGTCAGTAGACGTGCCTGGCGTCTGGCCCATTTCTAACACTGGCTAGGAGAAAGAGGAGGAAAGACTTTCGGAGCAAAGGGGAATTGTGAGCCCAAGAGGAGCCCGCATCTCTCACGGATGCCAGCCGCTCCAGGAGAGCAACAGCCACCGGTGCTGCAACCACACAAATGACAGGTGGTAGCAGCAGCAGCAGCACTCCTGGCCTCACTCTGCACCCTGCGGAGGTCACCCCTAAAGCCAGCCAGAGAGCAGCAGCTCCACCGCATGGAGGACGGAGAATTCCCCAAGCAGCCTTCACCCGCCTGGTGCCCCCAGCCAGAGATGTTCTGGGTTGCAGTTCCATCAGTCGCAGCCAGCACAGCTGTTTGCAAAGGCTGACAAGAGCATTAACGGAACAGAGAACGAAGAATATGAGTTCACCTGACCCTTAATAATAATAATAATAATAATAATAATAATAAATTTTATTTATATCCCGCCCTCCCCAGCCGAAGCCGGGCTCAGGGCGGCTAACAACACCAAATAGTGCGACATTATAAAAACATTATAAAAATTAATTAAAATCAAGATTGATGGCAGCCATAAAGTTTTGTAAAGGTTGCCAAAGGAGGGAGTCAGGCTGCGCCCTAACCAAATGCCTGGCGGAACAACTCTGTCTTGCAGGCCCTACGGAAAGATGTCAAGTCCTGCAGGGCCTTTGTCTCTTGTGACAGAGCATTCCACCAGGTTGGAGCCGCAGCCGAAAAGGCCCTGGCTCTAGTTGAGGCCAGCCTAACCTCTCTGTGGCCTGGGACCTTCAAGGTGTTTTTGTTTGAAGACCGTAAGTTCCTCTGTGGGGCATACCAGGAGAGGCGGTCCCGTAGGGGAGAACCGGAAAAGGAAAGACAACGCACTTAAGAACAGACAGAGGCTCCCACCTCAGGCCACACGAGGCCAACAGAACAATGTCCTCCTCCGGCATAAGTGCCAATTGAGCCTTATGAATCTAGAATGGCAAGAGGCGCCAGCGGGTGTAGGAGAACCCCAAGGTTTGCAGAAGGACAAAAGGTATTTTTAAGAACACCCCCAAAGAGGCCCAAGAAGGCTGAGCCACAGATTTCTGGCTCACTGTCGGATGGGAAACAGAAAAGGAAAGGAATGAAGGAGGGCGCAGTTCACTGGCTGGCACAGGGAATAGGGGAATTCCATAAGACAGGGTCTTGTTGCCAGCCCTGCTTCGTCCCGTAACACAGAATGCCATTTCCCCAGATGCACTCAAAGGTAATAATTCAATCCCCTCCTGAAATAACGTTACACTTGCCTCATAAGCAACGGGGCTTCACCGCTGAGTATTCTTAAATAGTGCACCAACTTTTGAAATTGTGTACTTGAAAGGCTGAAGGGGAGAAATAAAAACAAAGCTTGAGCTCTGGAAGAAAACAGTCCACCCCCAAAAACGAAGACAATCCCACCATCTCTTGGACCTCAGCAACCCAGGAGCCGCTGTTGGCCAACAGCCAGGCCCTTTGCACAACAAGGCGGGAGAAACCTCACGAGACCTTCAGGGTGAAGCAAGAACACATGGCCACCCCCTTCCCGGCAGCCCCCCGAGTTTGCTGGTATGCTTCCCGCTGCTTCCGGGTCTAGAAGACACAACACACACCTGGCTGCCTCTCTTGCCACCAGCAGGGCCCTTCCTCTCGTGGGCAGCATCCGGACAGCACCTGCCAGGGAGAAGATGGGCCAGAGGCAGGCAGGCTGCGCCTCGCTGGACCAGCAGCCAGAGGAGACAGGACTGGCCTCACTGGAGCAGCAGTTGCCAAGGTCCTCCTCCTCCTGCTGCTGCTGCTGCTGCTTTTATCAGTGGGGCTTGCGTGAAGCCCTTCTTAACAGCCAGCCCCCTATCTACAAGGGAAGCCCCGCCAATGAACTATTTTGTCTCAACCCTTAAATAAGAAAGCATCCAGAGGGCAGCTTCGGGTTCCTTATCAAGAGCGCTTTTGGCACCCCTCGCCCTGGAGGGTTGTTTGGAAAAAGGAAAAAGGAAAACATCCCCCACAACAATTGCAAGGCGGGCTGGGGCTGGGGCGGAGGACGTGTCTGCGGCCCCCAGACGGACGGCGCAGCCCCCTCTATTCAAAGTGCCCTAACGGCCCGCGAGGGGCCAAGCCCCCGGCCCCGGCACAAGGCACATTCGCCCCGATGTTATCTCCATCGCCAAAAGCATTGAGGATATTATGCAGCCGACCAAACCCTTCCTCGCTCACACAATGGCAGCTTTGTGCTCGGAACCGGAGTAAACACACAATGCAAGATGCAAAAATGGTGAAACGGGCGCCAGCACTTTGCAGATGAAGTCAGCCCGACTGTCCGTTATCATTTGCTCTGTGGAATAAATATGAAGCCCCACACGGTCAGTGCTGGAGAACCAACCCTCCTGGAAGAGGCCAAGAGTCAATGGCGGCAAGGAACTTGAACCAAGGGCCTGGACTCATGACTTTCAAGAGAAAGAAGAGAGCCGCGAGGATTCCAGGGTCTCCATCTGCAATATCTCTAGAATTCGCAATCTTTCTAGACCTCACTGTTACGGGGAGTCACATAAAGAGGGACGTGATACAAGCACATTAAGAAAGAAGAGTCAGGCGCAAGGAGGCCCAACTGGTCCAGCGATGCATCTCCCACCACAACCAGCCAGAAGCCAAGGCCACAGCAAGGACACACATCCGAGCAACCGCTCCATCCTGCTCACACTCCCCAGAAAGCGGCTCTGGCGGAGTCGTCATAACTGGCAGTCCTGGATAGTCTCCTCCTCCTCCTTCATGAACTTGCCTAAACTTCTGCGAGAGCCGCTTTAACATTAGTGTACATCATCACACTTCTTGGTAGTTCAGCTACGTGCTATATTTATTTACTTAAAACATTTCTAAATGGCTTAGTATCTCTAAGGGGTATACAGCATAAAAGTAAGAAGCATCACCAATAAAACAAAAAGACAACACAAAACCAGTAAAGAGGTTGTGCAAAAGCACAGAGAAACAGGAATTCAGGGAATTCCTACAGATTAAAACAGGGCCTGGGGGGAAACAGCTGTCTCTACAAGGCACTTGAAGCAACGAGGAAGAGAAAGGAAAATGGGCAATAGCACAAAATGCCCGTTTTGGGGTCACCACCATGTGACCTTTCGTGGGGTGCAGTACTGCAAGCAGACTCTCCCCAGGTGATCTTGCAGGTCCTATGCATGAATGAGTCCGTTCTTTTGAATCTCCCCACATTAAGCTTCACTGAATGACACACCAAGTGGGTTATTATAACACAAGAAGCAGACTTCTCCCCCCCCCACACACAAACCCAATTTTTACACCTGTCCTCCCCAGCTCACCACTAGCCTGAACCACCACCTGCTTCAGTTCCTCAGACTCCATTCCTACAAAAGCAAGTTCACAACTGGGAGCTGTCCTTTATCTTCTGCTGTGAAGACAGACGCAGCTTTTCTACAATCTCCTTATCCTCCTTGAGCAGCCACTGGCTCCCTGGTCAGATCCCTTTCAGGTGGTCAACTCCATCGCCTGGTCAAGAGGAGGAAAGAGCATCAAGAGTCCAGCCCGGATTAACTCCATAAGCACCTTTTCTGCTACTGCAGTCAGACAGTTTAGGGATGAGTTGAAATATGGCCTGGATCTTCGGTTCTGCTTTTCAGCATCTACTTTGGCTCCAAGCTCCCTGAACACCACTAAAAGTTTCATCCGTGTGCAAGTCATGCTCCAGCGCAGCAATGCTCCGCTCACAGAAGTGATGCGGTGCCACCAAGGGAGATGGCCTTTCTGAAACACCCCATGGGGCTTGCTGCAGGATGCCACCCCCCCCCTTTACCCGGCTGGTGCCTCTCCTCCTCCTCTTCCCTCGTTCTGCTATGCTAGCTGTTGGCCCAAAAGGCTTTGTCCATCTCGCTGTGTAATAACAGATATTATTCTTCCTGCGGTTCTTCTCCGAAAAGAACGCTCCAGGAGGAACCAGCGGCTCCACCTCCACCCAGAGTGCTGGAAGGCACGGGGACAAACCCCCTGGGAAGACGCGTGGCCACCTGAGCAGGCATCTGCCCAGGTCGTCAGGAGGCCGCGTGATGCTGAGAGTGCAGGAACGAGGGGAAAGGGTGGTGGACCTTTCCAGTTTAAGCAAATCGCCCGACTGATGCCTCCTGGTGCTGCTATCCGGGATTTCTGCTTTGCCTGAAATGTCAAATATTGATCCTATACAGTATAAACAAAGAGACTACTGAATTTCCACCCAAGCACGTCTCTGAAAAGTTACCTTTGGACCTGCGAACAAAGATTAATTCCAGTGCCCTTTGAAGAGGCTCCTGTGGACAGAAGGTGCAAAGGAGCTCATGCCTGGGGCAAGTGACCTCCCAGTGCCTTGGGCTCCTCCAGCTGGAGTCTAGCTAGCCAAATTGGAGGTGCTGCCGCTGCCGCTCCTAGCCTGGGCTTCCAGCCCCCATCCCGCCCCCACCCCAGTCCAACTTTATACTCCCTGACTCTCTGCCTTGCCTTGGTACAGACAAGCCCCCCACCCCCCACCCAAGAAACTACTTCTGCTGCTAGAATGGCTCAGTTGCTGAAGAGCAAACAAAGCTTCACACTTTACTCCACTAACAAACCTGGTACAATAAGCATGACATCACTGCTCAGTGAATACCTGGAAATCTTGCAAGCGTACCAGATCGGTTCAACAAAGCCCTCCTCTCAATGCCCATTTTATCACTTCCCATCTTGGGCTTTCTGGTATAATGCGGGCTTTTGTTTCAGAGTTTAGGCTTAAGGAAGACCATTGTATCTAGCAAGCACCAAACCAAAATGGTATTTACATTCGTAAAAAGTGGATTCTTTACATAAATATATGTTCTGTTACGAAAAGCATGCCGCATTTGGTGGCTGACCGAGCTGGATTTGAAAGCAAAGATTGTGACAATCCCAGGAACTGCTGGTGCCTCGATCTGTGATCCTTGGTCACGCGTTACGGCTGCAGTCCAACAGACACTTGGGAGCAAGTCCTCACTGGACTTGGCAGGGCTCACTTCTAACTCACTTCTGACGGGCACACAGAGAAAAAAACAACACAGATTTTGACTGGACCCTTTTCCGCACAATGACACACCCAAGGATGGAATTGCTCATGTGCGAAGGAGACCCTCTTTGCTTACCGCTGAAGGGTTGAGTCGACAGCCCCGGCAGGCCAGCAAAACCTAACAGGGTGTCCTCACCATGTTTTCCCACGCAAATTATAACTACAGCACAATGCCCCCTTCTACTTACACACCAGGGAGCCACGGAAGGGTCCTCTGCACCATCTGCTAGCCACATGTGACCCACAGGCGCACCAGCGCTTGCCTTGCCGACCTGTGCAACAGCCGCCTTGCTGGACAGACCCAGGGGGCCCATCCTGCCCCAGATCCAACTCCAGAAAGCAGATGCGCCCGGAAGCTCTTATGCAGGTGTGTTGCCACGTCCTCTTCACCCACAACGATGTCTGGCAGGCATCATATCCACAGCGTACACTAGGCCAGACATCCCTCCTCTTCCATGAATCTGTCTGGTCCTTTTTAAAAAGAAAGCTGCTTGTGGTCCAGCACTGTGAATGCTCTGCAGGAAGGCAACCCAAACTTTTGCACTCAGCCCGCACTTTAAAGGTAAAGGACAACTCTGGGGTTGCAGCATTCATCTCGCTCTATAGGCCGAGGGAGCCAGCGTTTGTCCGCAGACAGCCTCCGGGTCACGAGGCCAGCATGACTAAGCCACTTCTGGTGAACCAGAGCAGAGCACAGAAATGCCATTTACCTTCCCACCAGAGCGGTACCTATTTATCTACTTGCACTTTGATGTGCTTTCGAACTGCTTGGTGGGCAGAAGCTGGGACCGAGTAACGGGACCTCACCCAATTGCGGGGATTTAAACCGCCGACCTTCTGATCAGCAAGCCCTAGAGGCTCAGTGGTTTAGACCACAGCACCACCAGCATCCCTCAGGCCGCACTTTACCCCTGGTTATTCCTGGGCAGGTTCAACTCAAGGCCAAGCAGCACTTAGAACTTGTGAGTCACAGAAATCCAGTAAACTTTGATCGGCTTCAGAAGTTATTTAATAACTTGACCCCCACCCTGAGAACTAGCAGGTCTTTTAGCAACAGGGAGGAAGTTCTCACAGAGCCTAATGGAATGCCCCTGCTCCCAGTATGTCATCACTCCCTCTGCATTTTGCCATTTCTTGTAAATTTAACTCCCATAATGAGGAAAATCTCCAGGGAGTTTGGCAAGGATCTGCAAGCTCCCAGTAGAGCCCGTTGGACAGGATCCCAGCGGCCGCCCCTAACAAGCACCTCTAATTGCTGCAAGTGCATTTTGGCAGAAATGCAAACGAAAAGGAAAGCCCTGTGCCATCGTGTGGGTGCAAAGAAGGCTGGCGGGAGCCAGGGGAGGGACGCTTCTCTTGTGGGGACTCAAGAGCCCAGCTAGACCAGCCGTGTGCTCAGGAACACAATCCCCAAGATCCTGAAGCCTCTCTCCCCCAGCCTCTGAAAGGGTTAAGGAAGAGATTCCAAAGCCTCTCTGAGCAGCTTTTTCCACAGCGGCTGCTTGAGGCCTGGTGCTGATTATTCTGGCGCTGAGACAACCACCCAAGGCGTACATGCGAAGCTGCGAGGAATCTTGGTATTCTATCCAAACTGCACCTCCATTGACTGAAATGTTTTATGTAGGTACAAAATCATTTATTCTGCCACCTTTATGGGCAGGGCCTGCCAGAGGCAGCTCACGGTGTCATAAAGAGCAAAATAAACACACCATACTTCTGAAATCTCTTGCAAATCAACACAGGCAGCTACATTGACAATCTGACTCAGTACTGCCTACACTGACTGGTAGCAGCTCTCTAGGATTTCAGGCAGGGAGCCTTTTCCCAGCCCTGCCTGGGGATGCTGCCACTGGGGCCTGACCACTGGACCTTTCGTGTGCAAGGCGGGGGCCCTTCCCCTTTGCGACCCACTGCAAACACTCTGCAAATAAAGCAGCTCAAACAGGCATTGACCAAGACCACAGATTCTGGTCAAGGTTCTTGCGCAGCCTGGCTACAGAATCCTTTGGGGCAAGAGGCTGGCCAGGGGTGCCCTTGGCTCTTGTGGGTGGTGGGAGCAGACAGAACCTCCCTAAGGGAAGGGGCACTTCCTGAAACCACAGGAAGGATCCTAGTAAGACCCCCTCCTGCAGTGGGGGGAAACAGAATTGCTCTGGATGGACCTCAATGAATTCTGGTTGCCTGGTGCTAAACAGGCCGCTTTAGGTCAAGGTGATCAAGCCTGTTGTGGCAGCCCGGGCACAAGTGTTCCTGGATGAAACAGAGTATTTGGACCTCTTCAGTGCCCACCTTGGCTCTGGAAGTGCCCTCTTCATTAGCGGTGCCAACCTCTGGCGGCACCTGGGTTGTGGAAGACCCTCTCTGGGGAGACCTGCTAGGTTCCTCAGCTGCCCATCTAAACCCAAGGAGAGAAGGAAACAGCCTTCTTTCTATATTGGTCCGGCTACCTCTGGGATGCCAGGACTTTCAGCCAGGGGTCTCCCCACGCCATACCGGGGAGCCTGGCACCCTTCACACCTTGAGCAGGGAGGAGCTCTGCCACTGACCTACCACCCTTCCCCCTGAAGCCAGGTAAAGGTAAAGGTACCCCTGCCCGTACGGGCCAGTCTTGACAGACTCTAGGGTTGTGCCCTCATCTCACTCAAGAGGCCGGGGGCCAGCGCTGTCCGGAGACACTTCCAGGTCACGTGGCCAGCGTGACATCGCTGCTCTGGCGAGCCAGAGCCGCACACGGAAACGCCGTTTACCTTCCCGCTAGTAAGCGGTCCCTATTTATCTACTTGCACCTGGGGGTGCTTTCGAACTGCTAGGTTGGCAGGCGCTGGGACCGAGCAACGGGAGCGCACCCCGCCGCAGGGATTCGAACCGCCGACCTTTCGATCGGCAAGCCCTAGGCGCTGAGGCTTTTACCCACAGCACCACCCGCGTCCCCTTCCCCCTGAAGCCAAGGGGGGAGAAAAAGATGTCACTCAGAGGTATGGCTGGATTCCCAACTCCCAGCCAGGGTGGTCAATGGGTAGGGGTGATGGGAGCTGCCCTCTGGCCATGTCTGAAGGGCCACCACAGTTACCCCCTCCAGGCAGGCCCTTCAAGGGGACCAGCAGCAGCAACAACTCTGGGCTCTCTACCCAGATACTTTTAGCCACTGGTGCTCCCACATCTCACCATCATGCAGTTTAATGGCGATTTCATTGTGCCCACTCTGCATAGGAAGATCTATGAGTTCCCAACACGGCAAGATCTAGGGAAAGCAGCAGATCTGTGCCAGCTAAGTTTTGTGATGTTGTATATCCTTCCGTGCCCCCAGGGGGCAAACACACTAGGGCAGGCAGGGCGACCTCAAAAGTCCTCTGTGCAGGAGAGACTCTCCGAGGGTAGCCCTTCCCGGTTCTCTCTCTATCTCTCAGCCTGTCTAGCTATTCATTCCTTTTCCTGCCACCTGCGCAATCGCCTAAGAAAAGCCCACGTTCAGCTGCACTTGAATGCGAGGAGAGGAGAGGCGGCCAGGTATTGGGAACACGCAGCCACCTTCCGACCAGGCCTGCTCGGGCACGTGGGGCAAAGGGAAAGGCGGCCGAGAGGACAGCCGAGCCGCTTCCCCCCGACGCCGCGGCCCCGTCCCCTTCTCCGGGGGCTGGGAAGGCCGCGATCGGGGAGACGGAGGTGGAGGGGAGGAACTCGGGTCCCCGAGGGGGGGGGGCGGCACGTGCCAGACAGGCGCCGGGAGGGAAGTCCCGGACCCCGGCCAGGACCCAGGAGGCGGCGCCCGAGACCCCCGCCCGGGACACCCACCTGCGGACCGAGGCGCCTCCACGTGTCAGCCGCTTCCCACGCGACGCCCGCCGCCGGCCGGGTCCCCTCTGCGCAGGCGCCGCCGCCGCCGCGTCCCTGCCGGGCCTCCTCCGCCTCCTCCTCTCCTGGCTCTCCTTCGGCGACGGACGGAGGGACCGGCCGGGGGGGGGGGCCTCGCCTCAGCTCTCCGCCTGCGCCCCCGGCCGCCGGAAGCGCCTCAGCCCCGCCGCGCCGGATGCGACGTCGCCAGGCCCCGCCCACTTCCGCTCGCGCGCCGGCTGCGGGGAGGGGCGAGGCGCGCGGAGGCCTCTCGCGGTTGCCCGGCAACGCCCACGCCCGCCCCGCCCCGGAATGGCCGAGCCGGAAGGGAGCCCGGGGGGCATCTAGTCGGACCCGCGCAAGGGGGGGGCGGGACAGGCCCCAGGGTCGCCTGCGACTGGACTGAACTGCCAGGGGTCCTTTAGCACTAGATGTGTGTGTGTGTAAATGTGTGTGTGTACATATATATATATATATATATACACACACACACACACACACACACACACACACACACACACCTAGACAGCATCTTAAAAAGCAGAGACATCGCCTTGCCAACAAAGGTCCGTATAGTTATAGCTGTGGTTTTCCCAGTAGTGATGTATGGAAGTGAGAGCTGGACCATCAAGAAGGCTGATCGCCGAAGAATGGATGCTTTTGAATTCTGGTGCTGGAAGAGACTCTTGAGAATCCCATGGACTGCAAGAAGATCCAACCTCTCCATTCTGAAGGAAATCAGCCCTGAGAGCTCACTGGAAGGACAGATCCTGAAGCTGAGGCTCCAATACTTTGGCCACCTCCTGAGAAGAGAAGACTCCCTGGAAAAGACCCTGATGTTGGGAAAGATGGAGGGCACAAGGAGAAGGGGACAACAGAGGACGAGATGGTGGGACAGTGTTCTCGAAGCTACCAGCATGAGTTTGACCAAACTGCGGGAGGCAGTGGAAGACAGGAGTGCCTGGCGTGCTCTGGTCCAGGGGGTCATGAAGAGTCGGACACAAGTAAAGGACAACAACAACATATATATATATATATATCTGTTCCAGTAACAAGAAGCCGAAAGCACCAGCCTGAAGATGACGAGTGAGACCTCGTCGAAACGTCGCCTAGACACCCCAACTTTTACACGGGAAGACACCCGAGGACACCAAAACCTGCATATATATATATATATATACACACACACACACACACACACAAAATATATGTGTAGATATATATATGCACACACACACACAGTGGTACCTTGTTTTGCAACCAGGATCCGTTCCGGAGCCCCGGCCGCTAGCTGAAAAGGACGCAGTGCACAGTGCCACATCTGCGCACACACACGGAGCAGTTTGTGCTTCTGCACATGCATGAGCAGCAAACCCAGAAGTAACCCGTTCCAGTACTTCCAGGTTTGCCCCGGACGTTCGCCAGAATGGATGCTAGATGAGGCAGATGTTCGGTACCCTTTTCGGTACTCCTGGGTCGCCACAGAACGCAACCTGAAAACACGCAACCTGAAGCAAACGTAACATGAGATATGACTGTATAAGCTTTCAGATGAGGAAGTGTTCATGCACACAAAAGCTTATACCCAGAACAAACTTAGTTGGTCTTAAGGTGCTACTGGACAATTTTTTATTTTTTTATTCATTTCAGCTGTGTCAGACCAACACAGCCACCTTCCTCAATTAAATTTTCTGTTTGGCGCTGTGAGTTAAACCACAGAGCCTAGGACTTGCTGATCAGAAGGTCGGCGGTTCAAATCCCCGTGACGGGGTGAGCTCCCGTTGCTCGGTCCCTGCTCCTGCCAACCTAGCAGTTCGAAAGCACGTCAAAAATGCAAGTAGATAAATAGGTACCACTCCGGCAGTGTTACCGGAAAAATCTGAGGGCTCCCTTGGACAAAAGTAAAGACACCAACCAGAGTAAATTGAAGCAAATCAGCAGCCTGTAGGCTTCGTCTTTATGGAGGAAAGACTGTCGCGACAGGGTGCTCCCCTCACTTGCAGGTGAGAGGAAAGACCCAGAAAAATGGTGTGCAAGGTCTTATAAAAACTTTTGAAATTCCCATCCTCTAGGTCAAGCCCACCCCCAGAAACATCATACATACATCACAGAAAGGAGGGGTTGAGGGAGGAGTTGGTGGTAACCTGAGTGTCCTGTCACCTGGCTGGTTCCTCCTCTCCCCCCCCCCATGAGTCACTTCCAGGAGACAAAGGGGAGTTTGCAGTTTCCTGCCCCCAGAGGGAAGATCTGATCATTGTCCTTTGTTTCAGTCCATGCTGAATCCACTCCCATATGCAAGTTCTTTGTGATCTTGATTGTCTTCTGTCTGGGATCATCAGGGTTGGCATAGCAACTGGGCAGGGCTCCTGTGGATGTGCTGGGGTGGTGAAGGGATTATGGCTGACCAGGACCAAGCCACCCCCCTTTGTTAGTTCTTGTCACATGGAGTAAAATAAAAATGGAACAGTGCAAATCCGATGTATGGCTGATTTTCTATGAATTTATAACAGAAATGTGGCGTATGCAGTGTGTGTGTGTGTGTGTGTGTGTGTGTGTGTGTGTGTGTGAAGTTTGTACAAACAGAATGATTGGGGTGGGGGGGTTCCTGCTACAGCAGGAAGGTAAAAGGCGTTTCCGTGCGCTGCTCTGGTTTGCCAGAAGCGGCTTAGTCCTGCTGGCCACATGACCCGGACGCTGTACACCGGCTCCCTCGGCCAGTAAAGCGAGATGAGCGCCGCAACCCCAGAGTCGGTCATGACTGGACCTAATGGTCAGGGGTCCCTTTACCTTTACCTTTTACATCCTTAAGATGCCTCCACACAACCGCGGCTTCTCCACACAAACCAGAAAGTGGCTTCTCCGGACAACAGACGGCCTCTCCCGTGAAGGCTGCCGCCTCCTGCGTGAATCGGACACTGTCCGGCAGTTGGGGGCGCATGCGCCCTGTCCTTTGGCCTCCCCAGGACCCTGGCAACCCATGCTATGCCACTGCCCCACAGGCTTCAACAAGTTGCTGCCACCCCAATATTGGCCTAATGATGCCCTGGAGGCCTTGGAAGGGGCATGAGACAAAATCCCCGAGGAGGAAGAGGTGGCAGCTCTCAGCCGTGAGCCAGTGCATCCTCCATGTTCAGAAACGGCCTGTCCCTCTGCACACCAGCCATGTGTGGGGCAAGCGCTGTGGCCTCGTCCGCCTTGCCGGCTCCCTGGAAGCATCAAGTGATGGGCTGCCCAGCTGGGTGGACCTGCCTTGGTCTGATGCCACGCGGGCTCCCTGTGCTCTCCAAACACGGAACTCCATGTGCAGCATCTGGTGAAGATTTGGGACGCCCGGCAGGAATCTTGGAAAGGGGACAATGGGCTGGGAGGGCCTGCTGTGGTCTGACCCAGAAGAACGGACTGTCCTTGTGCTAAGCAGGTCACATAAACAGGTCCTTGCATAAGCAGTTTTATGGAGTAGATAAAAGGGATCACGGAAGGCTTCCTTTCTCCCTGGCAGAATGGCAACCATGGTACGCAGAATCGCAGAATAATGGGTGCCAAGCCCGGAGTCACGGAGCCCAACCAGCTTCCCGCCAGCTGCAAACTCCTGTCTCCGTGGGGGGGGGGAATCTCTGGGCTCTGAGGGTGGGCTGGCATTCGCTCTGCCAGGGCTCACCCAGTGGCAGATCTGCACCAACCCACCCAAAGGCCCACCCAGCCCCATGCTCAGCTGACAGGATAGTGTTGCAGGAATTTATGTATAGGTTGGGGGGGGGGTTGCCCCTCCAGCAGATATCATGCACATGCAGCCCACTACCAAAACCAGCACCATCACTTTTGTGACTTGTGTGAGTTGTCCCCACAAAACACTTCATCACAGTTTCTTCCTATCTATTCAAAGGGCCCCTGCTGCACAATACCAAATGATAAATGTATCTATGTACTGGCTCACAGGGAAAACTTCAGAAATTCATATAGACATGTGAGCTCAGCTCCTCAGCAGCCCCTCTGCCTGAGTGATAATCCCTGGCATCCTGATACCTGAGTGCCAGACAGGTAGCCATTCCAGAAATAACAAACCCAGATGAAGACAAAAGGGGGCAATGAACTTGGCTGGGAAACAGGGAAATGTAAATATTTCTTTTGTTCCACTTGATGGGTGTTTGGTGGAGGGCAAGGGGAACCATGGGGCAGGGTCCAGCATGCTCAGATTCCTGCCACCAGACCTCCCCTTTCGTGATGTATGAGTGATGTAGTTTGATGGGGGTGTAACATGGGGATTAGCAGCTAATAAAAGTTTGGGGGCTCTTTTGTTCGGGGCTTCCATCTTGCTTCCTCTTGCAGTGAGTTGGAGTCCTGTCGCGACAGTTTCAACAAAGACCAAGCCTACTGGCTGCTGTTTTGCTCCAATTTTCCTGGTTGGTGTCCTTGCTTTTTTGTCCAAGGGAGCCCTCAGATTTCTCCGTTAACAATAGAAACACTATAAGAGAAGCCTGACTGCATCCTCATCGGACAGCCTGGGTTGTTATGGGGGGGGGAACCCATCTTATGGGGGGGGCACCAGTCTCAAAGGCTTTCCGTCTTCTCCCACCGCTGGCTCCTCCTCACCTGGTTCAGCCCCTCTTGACCAGGTTAGCTCTCAGATCTCTCCTTGGGGCAAAACAGAATCTGACCTGATGAATGGGAGCCGCTTCCCGTTAATCAGATGTCCTTGGCGTCGGAAGGAGGGCATCGCCCGTCTCACAAGGGCCGCCTTTCTTTCTGCCAAGGCTCCTGGGGCAGGCAGGTCGAGAGCAGCTCCATGAAAATAGCCGTTGGGTTCAGCAAGCCAGTTCCAAGGGCAGCCAAGACAAAGCGGTCCGTCCCATTCCCACTCTCCACCTTCAAATCTTGGACCACACACTCTCAACACACGAGACCTGGCGGACGTCCAATGAAGCTGGATGTCAGGAGATTCAGGGAGGATAAAAGACAGGACTTTTTCACACAGCACATAGTTTAACTGTGGGCACCAACTGGGATGGCATTAAAAGAGGATTAGACAGATTCCCGGAGGAAGAGAGGGCTACAGAGGGTTACTAGCCAGGATGGCTCTGCTCTGCCTGCCCAGATGGAGGCAGCAAGGCTTCCAAAAACCAGTTGCT